TGCATTTACTAGTATCGCTACCTTAAAGCTAAACTTGGGGTTAACGCAACCCTAGCCCTTAACGTAAACCTAGCCTCTACAATTTAATAATAACGACAGATAGAATTTTAAATATTCGACATTCTAAAATTGTCTGTTCATCTCTTTTACAAAAACTTTTATAAATGAAAAACGGGTTTCTTTTATTCTTTTTTAAAGTGTTTCCTATTTTTCTGAACATATTAGAATTTCTTCTTCTTCCTTTTTAGTTGTAAAGTTGGGTGGGATTTCCTTCAACACAATTATGTTTTATGTGTCAACTAGTAAAGCCGCCATTTATGTGTTTTCATCCTGCTTTTCTTTTTACTTTCTCGTATATACGAAGTAGGGCCTATAGAGAAAGTCTTGTAATCGTGCAAAAAAAAAAAATCGAGATTTTTACAAATCTCGACGTTTTACACCTCACTGATACGGAAAAACATAATTTTGCAATCTGTCCGTATGTCTGTGGTGTCTGTGTGTCTGTCTGTCTGTCCGTGTGTAAACACGATAACTTGAGTACCGTTACAGCTAGGTTGATGAAATTTCATATATAAGTATTTTATCAAAATCGTAGATCCGTATCAACTTTTGAGCGATTTCGATAACCGGAAGTGGTACTTTTCCTACTTTGAATTTTTCAAAAGCCTATAACTTGAGTACTATTTCAGATAGATAAATGAAATTTCACATGTAAGTAAAAGATCTAATTCTCTACCTTCTGTAAAATTTTGAGTAATTTCCGTTGACTGGAAGTAGTAATTTACGCTACTTCCGATTTCTCAAAAAACTAATGTAAATTTTAAAAGTACTAATAATATTGCGCACTATTATGCGCTTTTTTATTTGGCGTTCACTTGGTGTGCAATTAATTTGTCTACGAGATTTTATTCTATTTTTAAAACTTTAAGTATTTAAAATGGATTGAAAATCATGTCTATAGCCCGAGTTCCCATCCCCTGTTATTTTATATAAGAATATTCGAGAAAGTTTAGGGGAGATCACTCCCGGTTTATTTGATTTGCGATCATTGACTTTGTCCAACCTAGAACAACCTACAAAGCAGCATTTTATTTTTATTTAGGAGTTTTCTCGCCTAATAAGGTTGCTGTCCCCAGATATCGAGCCTACCTGCTTTGGATTTAAACTCTGTACTTAAACTTTAAGCAACCATGAGCTTACGACCCGACGACACAGACTCCCCTCGCATTCGGATTTAATTTACAAATTATTTGTAAAGCATATTGTGCCTTTTTAAAACGTATTTTGAATCGGCAGTGCAAATAAAACAGCATAGGTCGTCATAGTGCCGCTTAAGAAAAATAAAAGTTCCAAATCTATTTTTCCACAACGCCTGCTCCCAGCGCTAATAACAAAATCTCTCTGAGCTAACGGCCTTTTTTTTTCTAGGTTGGGCTTAGCGTTACTCGTGTCTCTGTGTCCGACTAGAGCACGGCTTTAGTATTTCTTCTACGATCTTAATTAACCGTTATCCTAACTAACGTGAGAGGGTTATCGCTGGTCAGGCAAATCAAGCAACAAAGGAATGGGCGTGGCGGTAATTAATGAATTCCCAGAGATGTAGGTCAACAGAAGCAGCTGGACCAAGAACAGCCGAGCTCTCAGTTTTGTGGGGCCATGGGGGGGGGGGGGGGGATGGGGACAGTTTTGTGTGGTCGTGGTGTGGGGGGGGGGCAGTTTTGTGTGGTCATGGTGTGGGGGGGGGGGGCAGTTTTGTGTGGTCTGGTGTGGGGGGGGGGGGGGCGGACACAGTTTGTGTGGTCGTGGTGTGTGTGGGGGGGGGGACAGTTTTGTGTGGTCCTGGTGTGGGGGGGGGGGGGCGGACACAGTTTGTGTGGTCGTGGTGTGAAATGGGGACAGTTTGTCGTGCGGCGGCGGGGGGGGGGGGGGACAGTATTGTGTCATCGTATTGTGTGGGGGGGGGGGCGCAGTTTTGTGTGGCCGTGGTGGGGGGGAGTTGTGTGTGGTCGTGATGTAGGTATATCACGCTGGGGAATTAAACATCATCCGGCGAAAATAATTAAAATTTTTAATTAGCCACTAAAATACGCTGCACGTTATTTTAAATAAGGACGCGAAATTTGCATAGTGTCAGTTTCCAAACACGTGATCTCAAATTATTTAAAAATCTTTCCGGACGTGTTTCCGAAATGGTTCTCGATGAGCAGCAGAAAGCGAGTAATCTCCCCTGTGTGAGTAATCTCCCGTGTGTGCGAGTAGCTTCCCCTGTGCCAGACTTTAAAGTTCGTTCAACTTAGCCAACCGCGGCTCACTTATCTTCGCGGGATGTTCGTGTGTTGATGTACGTGTGAGGTGGAGGGGTGGGGGCGCCCCACTTTACCTGCCCCCTCTCAAGACACGATGTGCACAGTCTGCCTCGCTCCCCCCCCCCCCTCCATCTGTGTTGCCACTTCGCGCCCAGATAAAGCCGACTAGAACTCACTGGCTACACATCTAATAACTTGCTCACCAGCACATGATCTTGACCTTTGAACCTGCCGCTGTGTGCATTAAAAAAAATCTTGATTCCTATTGAAATGGTGTACACGTTTCTGCACATACGTATTATACATAATATGATCTCGCATAAGCTTGGTCGGGTATCAAAGTATTGCTCTCCTGCGAGGACCTATAAATATTACTGCCCTGTTAATACTGCCCTTCCATTATGACATATGCTGCCCCGTTAATACTGACCCCCCCCCCATTCCCCCAGTGAATGCTGCCCCTACAAAAACGCTGATGCCCAACATGTTCATAACACTTCTGCCCTGACCATTGGTGCCCTGACCATTGGTGCCCTAACCATTGGTGCCCTGACCATTGGTGCCCTGACCATTGGTGCCCTGACCATTGGTGCCCTGACCATTGGTGCCCTGACCATTGGTGCCCTGACCATTGGTGCCCTGACCATTGTTGCCCTGTGTTTACTTATGCCCCGTGTATACTGCTATTCCCAGACCCCGTACATACCAATACTAAAAGCTGGTGAACAAAACCGAACTGGTGCCAAGCCAGGTTCAGAAGAACCTAGATCTACATAAACATAAAAAAAACATTAACTCAGGCAAACAATAACATTCATTTAAATACAATTGCAGAACAATTGCAGCACCCCCCCCCCCCCCAACCAACGTTCATAAGACCGACCCCACCAATTTCCAAGTCAAGCGCCATGTTTTTAATTAACCATTATAACAAATATGCGATATTCATTCCCAGAGTGTCGCTTGATATAAATGTAGGGCTTCATCAATCCCCCATTTTCTATTCTTGTCACGTACCTTAAATATACTCAGTCTACTTAAAATTAGACTCGTCTGTCTATTTAGATTCCTTCCAGATTTAGAGCACTTAAAAGCGTCGACCCTTCCCCTCTTCCCATTTGATCCAAGGCGACCTAATTTCAAAGGAAAATGGCGCGAATGTCTAAGCTTAACTTCAATATTTACCCGCGGGTCTGTCGGCAAGTTGGTCTATTCAAGTTGGCTTCGTTGACCCCGAGTGTTTGAATAACATGGTTTCATTGTCTGCTGGTTTTAACGGTACATCACTAATGTACCGACGGCTGCTTGTTAGAAAAGCGAAATTACAATAAAACGATAGTTTTTATTCGAAATAAAACTCACACAGTTTATCATCATTCGGTAGACTACACTATGTCTATATTGTGACTATAGACTATAAGTATAGATAGAGTAGACCATACAGGTTTACATCCAGAATAATAATAACTAGATTTTATAGTCCAGCAAATAAGATAAAAATTTATGGTGTAAAATTTAGATCTTTCTATATTTAAATTCTAACTGAACCACGTTTTCATCAGTTTCTTGCTGGCATCTTTGCGCCCCCCCCCCCCCCCCGATCAAAATAGAATTTATATAAAATATTAATAGATCTCTAGATCTATATACTTTTACGAGTTTCTTGGGCACAAACCGGTAAAGATTATGCTGAAATAGTGTTTGACAGATCAATAGTATTATTCCCCAATAGCTTAATTTTATTCAAATCTAATATTAGACATAGAACACCCACTTAAAGTAAAAGTTATGTCGCAATTATCATCATAATTTAGTAATGATGTGAAATTTTTTTTATCTCAGGAATTCCATGTGGCCTACGTGTACATCAGGATGGGAAACTCCCCCCGTCCTGGGGTCTGGATTCTAGAACGGTCCAAAGATTTTGGAAAGACCTGGTTGCCATGGCAGTATTTTGCAGAGAACCCAAGTGACTGTTCCAACTTATTTAACACAAGAGCAGATGAGAGGTTGACCTCAGACACACAGATCATTTGCTCCACTGAGTTCTCCAAGATCGTTCCCTTCAACAATGGAGAGGTAATGTCCAAATAAAATCTTCAATAATGGAGAGGTAATGTCCAAATAAAATCTTCAATAATGGAGAGGTAATGTCCAAATAAAGCCTTAAATAATGGAGAGGTAATGTCCAAATAAAACATTCTATAATGGGAGAGGTAATATTTTTTAAAAACCTTCCATAATAGGAGAGTTAATGACCAAAAATTCCTTCAACAATTTAGAGTTAATGCCCAGAAAACCTTCATTATTGAAGTTGTTTAAAGTTTTTCAAGATTATGCAAATGTTTATTTTTAAGTTAATCATTTTACCTCTATAATTATCAAACAACTAGATGTCACTTTTAAAATGAATATCATAGCATTATCAATAATTAGAATTCATTCACAGAATACATAGGTAAACAGCGTAATAATTTGTAGTCAATTTTATCATACTTAAACCATTCCATGAGTGGGCATTAAACACTTTCTCATTCTCTTCATTGTCTTGACGACCAAATACTCACAATTTTACATATTCCCTTCATTGTCTTAGATTGTTGTTTCCCTTGTCAATGGACGACCAAATGCCCACAATTTTACCTACGCTGATGAGCTGCAAGAGTGGACGAGAGCTACAGATATCCGATTGGCGCTGCTCCGCACCAAGACCTTGCTTGGACATTTGATGGCTATAGCCAGACAAGACCCAACAGTCACCAGAAGGGTCAGTCAGCCACAACTAACTCAACAGTTTTTTTCTCATTCACCCTGTACCCAACCACACAAGTTAACTATCCAATCATTGGGCTCAATGTTGATTTAAATATTATTACTCCTGTTGATTGGTTAACTTAAATAACATTTATTTTCTCATTGGTTTACTGTTGTGGTACATAGCTTTAATCTAGTTCATGTAATAAATCCTGAGATTTTTTAATACGGAAACATTCATGATTCACTGTGACTGAACACAACATATAATAAAAATAGTTTAAAAATCCCTATCAAAATCTATGTAAAATGTATTATAATTTGTTTTGTTTTTTAAATTTTATATTGATTGACATTTAAAAAAATTTGTTGTCAGTATTACTACAGTATCAAGGACATCAACATCGGAGGTCGCTGTGTGTGTAATGGCCACGCCGAGTCATGTGACGTGCGTGACCCAACCACATCAAAGCTGGTGTGTAGCTGTATCCACAACACCTGCGGGGAACGCTGTGAGAGGTGCTGTGCTGGCTACCCACAGAAAAAATGGAGGAGTGCTCTTGTGGATCAGCCTTTCTTGTGTGAACGTAAGTCACTCATATCTCACTCAATATTCATGTGTGAATGTAAGTCACTCATATCTCACTCAATTTTCATGTGTGAAGTCACTCATATCTCACTCAATTTTACATGTGTGAAATCACTGATATCTCACTCAATTTTCATGTGTGAATGTAAGTCACTCTTTTGTGGACTAACTTAGTATTAAAACAAGTAATACAATTAAAAATGTGTATAGTTCTGCTAATCCTATTGTCACATTTTAGCTTGTGAGTGTTATGGCCATGCTGACGACTGCGTCTATGATGAGGAGGTTGCTAGGAACAGATCTAGCATTGATATCCATGGAAACTACGATGGGGGTGGTGTCTGTCAGAACTGTAAAGTAAGTCCACATATTGGCTGTAAAACACTGCTGTTTATTTATACTTGGGATAACAATATTTTAATCGAGGAAGGGAAATAACTCTCATAACTAAAATACTAAATCTGGATACTACCCCTTTATCCCTTTTATTATTATTATTAACACTGATCTGTTTTTTTCTATTGTAGCACAACACAATGGGAATCAACTGTGAGCAGTGTGTTTTTGGCTACTACAGGCCCTATCATGTGGCTAAAAATGCAACAGATGCTTGCAGACGTAAGTGAAAGATAAACTTTCCTTAAATGAGCTACTCAGGGGCAGTTTGTATAGAGATGATGTTATATTACAAATTGTTTTCCCTGGCCTACAAGAAGTAAAAGTACTGTCAAAATTTTTAATTATTTCTCCTGACCTGCAAGGAGTTAATGTACTGTTTCAATTTTAAAGTATTTTTGCTGGTCTGCAATGAGTTAATGTAATGTTCCATATTTGCTGCAGCTTGTGAGTGTGACCCAAAGATTTCTACTGGAGAGTGTGAAGAAGGAAGTGGACGATGCCTCTGTAGGCCAGAATATGCTGGACTGGCTTGTGACAGGTAAGGTCTAATTGTGACAGGTAAGGTCTAATTGTGACAGGTAAGGTCTAATTGTGACAGGTAAGGTCTAATTGTGACAGGTAAGGTCTAATTGTGACAGGTAAGGTCTAATTGTGACAGGTAAGGTCTAATTGTGACAGGTAAGGTCTAAGTGGTTGTTAACATAGAGGTCTAATTGTGACAGGTAAGGTCTAATTGTGACAGGTAATGACTTATTGTGACAAGTGAGTCTAATTGTGACAGGTAATGGCTAATTGTGACAGGTAAGGTCTAATTGTGACAGGTAAGGTCTAATTGTGACAGAGAGGGGTGTGTGTGAGGTACAATTTAATGGTTTAATTGAAAGAAGCAAGGTGTAGTATGATAGATATGGTCTTGTTGTGTCAGGTACAATATGTGACAGGTGGGGTTGAGATAAAAGGAGAATATCCACTCAGAGTACAAGACTGAGATTCAAACACTGAAATGGTTGTTCCAGTAAATGACCTTTTGTGGCCAAAGTGAACTCAGATACTAACATATATAGCTATACTGCTATATTCACAAACATATGTAGCTATACTACTGTATTCACAAACTTATGTAGCTATACTGCTGTATTCACAAACTTTTGTAGCTATACTACTGTATTCACAAACTTATGTAGCTATACTGCTGTATTCACAAACTTTTGTAGCTATACTGCTGTATTCACAAACTTATGTAGCTATACTGCTGTATTCACAAACATATGTAGTTATACTGGTATATTCCAAACATATGTAGTAAAGCCACAAACATATGTAGCTAAACTACTGTATTCACAACATATGTAGCTATATATTCACTGATGTTGAAAACTTTGTTTGTCAGGTGCAACTTTGGTTACTATGGTTACCCAGATTGTATCCCATGTGAGTGTGACATCAATGGCACAGAAGACTCCATCTGCACATCTGGCACTGGCCACTGCCCCTGCAAGTACAACTACGATGGCGTTAAGTGCAATCAGTGCGCTCAGGGATATTACAACTTCCCTGAATGCAAGCGTAAGTTCTTTTTTCATTTTGGATTTTTTAGTTATGGTTTTAAGGACTTGCTTCTGTTTTCGGTTAGGTGGATTTTTCAAATTAATGGACTTAAGTTTGTTTTTAATTAGGGAGGGCCCTCACCGTTTGTTAATTGTTCTTTTATGTACTGTAGTCTGTTGTTAATTACTGTTTTTGTTTGTTGTTGTTTTTTTTTATTATAGTCTCAATTAGCTTTGTATTATTTAAATATAACCACTTATTGCTTTTATGTTGGATTTTATCAAGAAAAATTTTCTGTCAGTTATTCTGATTCTTTTACAGCTTGGCAGTATAACTCAGCCCAATATTGTTCACATTTATGTTTACTTCTGTCCAATATTGCTCATCTTTTTGTTTACAGCTTGTGAATGCAATAGAGTTGGATCCCAGTTAACTGTTTGTGACCTGGAAAGTGGACAGTGTAGGTGTGACGAGCGCTATGGTGGGCGTGACTGTGGAGAGTGTGCTAATGGCTTCTACAACTTCCCACAATGCTTGAGTATGTTAGCAAATATTATTTTGACTTAATAACATACTTTTTCTTTTCTTATAGAAACTCTACAACTTCCCACAATGCTTGAGTATGTTAGCAAATATTATTCTGACTTTATAACATACTTTTTCTTTTCTTATAGAAACTCTACAACTTTCCCACAATGCTTGAGTATGTTAGCAAATATTATTTTGGCTTTTTAATATACTATTTTCTTTTCTTATATAAACTCTACAACTTTCCCACAATGCTTGAGTATGTTAGCAAATATTATTTTGGCTTTTTAATATACTATTTTCTTTTCTTATATAAACTCTACAACTTTCCCACAATGCTTGAGTATGTTAGCAAATATTATTTTGGCCTTTTAACATACTTTTTCTTTTCATATAGAAACTCTACAACTTCCCACAATGCTTGAGTATGTTAGCAAATATTATTTTGACTTTATAACATACTTTTTCTTTTCTTATAGAAACTCTACGACTTCCCACAATGCTTGAGTATGTTAGCAAATATTATTTTGACTTTATAACATACTTTTTCTTTTCTTATAGAAACTCTACAACTTTCCCACAATGCTTGAGTATGTTAGCAAATATCATTTTGACTTTTTAACATACTTTTTCTTTTCATATAGAAACTCTACAACTTCCCACAATGCTTGAGTATGTTAGCAAATATTATTTTGACTTTATAACATACTTTTTCTTTTCTTATAGAAACTCTACGACTTCCCACAATGCTTGAGTATGTTAGCAAATATTATTTTGACTTTATAACATACTTTTTCTTTTCTTATAGAAACTCTACAACTTTCCCACAATGCTTGAGTATGTTAGCAAATATTATTTTGACTTTTTAACATACTTTTTCTTTTCTTATAGAAACTCTACAACTTCCCACAATGCTTGAGTATGTTAGCAAATGTTATTTTAGCCTTTTAACATACTTTTTCTTTTCTTATAGAAACATTAATTTGGCTTTTTAAACCAGTTTCTCTGTTCCTATAAAAATATGTTTTTGCTCGTTAACACTGTTTTTAATATATCTTTTTCTTATACAATATTCATGTGCATGTTAATATAGTTTCTTCCCTTTCGGAAGAATATTCTCCTCAGTCCTAACAAACCTGTCCTAATTTGTTGAGTGCTGCTTTAACCTGTGGTTGCCATGGTTACAGATTGTGGCTGTGACAGCAGGGGAACCAAGGCAGACATCTGTGACAAGGAGTCAGGAGTCTGTCTGTGTAATGACAGGTACGCTGGGAGTCAGTGCAACAGGTGTGCACCTGGGTTCTACAACTTCCCAATCTGTCAAGGTAAACTTGCCCTACTCTCTTTCTTCTAGGCACTTAATTAAGTTTCATTAATTTACCTAAACATAGCATATCTACTTCACTTAATTTGTTTGAACCTTTTAATTTTATTCACATAATAAATAACTTACCTAATATAGTTAATCAACTAATTTATGCCATTACTAAATCTGGAATAACTTAATGAAAAGTATCCATTAAACATTTATTCTAAATACCAAAGTATTTTTTGAGCTGACAGTTAAAAAGTACCTTATTATTTTAGCTCATTCAAAAACCATTGAGCTAACCACACAGGTTTTTTTATTGAAATGTTGTACCAAAAAATATGAATTGAAATCTTGTACAAAATATGATTCATTGAAATGTTATATAAAAAACTGTGAATTGAAATTCTTTACAAAAACTCTCAATTGAAATGTTGTACAAAATATGATTCATTGAAATGAATGTTATACAACAAAAAACTGTAAATTGAAATGTAGAATGCCAATGTGCCAGCCCAGGATCTAAGACTTCCATCTGTGCTGAAAATGGACAGTGTCTGTGTCACAACAACTTTGGTGGTCTCACCTGTAACCATTGCGCACCTGGGTTCTACAAGTATCCAGAATGTAGTCGTAAGTTCCATTCCATTTTTTAACCTGTATCAAATAAAGAAAAAAGTTAACCATCTTTTGTCATTCATATAACATAACACAAAAAATATTAAGACTGTAATTTAAGATGAATAGCTGATGTTATTTAAGATGTATAGCTGATGTCATTTAAGATGATAGCTGATGTGATTTTAGATCAATTGTCCATGTGATTTAACATGTATTCACTGTGTTATTTAACATGTATTGACTGTGTTATTTAAGATGTATTGACTGTGTTACTAAAGATGACTTATTGTTCCTCAGTCTGCAACTGCGATGTTTATGGCTCCATCGGCGCGTCATGTGACCAGGTGACAGGACAGTGTCGGTGTCGCGACAACTTTGTTGGTGTCACCTGCAACAAGTGTGGTCCCAACCTGTACAACTATCCCAACTGTGAAGGTAAGGGAGGCTAAACTCAGCATAATCTAAGTGGACCATAATCCATTGGACCATGCTAGTGAATAACTTCAGGTTTATCCAATGAACTAAAACTATAACAGTACAGCCCTATTGTATACAAAATCTGACTGCAATGTGTGGCTCTGCTCCACAGAATGCAACTGTCACCCTGATGGGGCCAAAGCTGTCCCTGGCTACCCAGCTGGGGGCTGCGGATCTGTCACGGTTGGCCGACTCTGTGAGTGCAAGGACCTGGTGATTGGCAGAAACTGTGACACCTGCAAGACGGGATACTGGAACCTGAACAGGAATAACCCTGGGGGTTGTGAAGGTAAGGAAGGTCAAAGGTCACTGTAGCAATGTGTCTCATCTGTTGGGATTCGGATGTGTCAGTGTTAGTTAGGGATAATATTGTGTCAACTCTTGTGTTAGATAAATGTGTTAGGATAGGGATTTTTCTATCAGTGCTAAATAGGGATAATAATGTAAATGTCTATTTTTAAAAAACTGTAGATACTAATGTTTAAACAATTATAAACTTGTATTGTTACAAGATTATAGGTTTGCACTTTATAAAAATATTGTTTTCATTCATATTTCTATTATCTTTACAACATTAGTTAAGAGTTTTAAACCTGTTATCATTATTGTTGCAACTACATGTAAAGCATGTCAAACTTAGATTAAACCCTGTTTTTTTCTCAACCAATCAGAATGCAACTGTCACAGTCCAGGAACCTTGGCTGGGGTCAACCGGTGCGACATGCTAACAGGCCAGTGTGAATGTAAACCCAGGGTCGGAGGGAGAGACTGCAACCGATGTCTGGATGGGTACTATAACCTGCAGGAGAACAATCCCTTTGGATGTGTGGGTAAGGGAATTACACTTTATCTGGTAAATTCTTTAGATGTGTAGTAAATAAAAAAATGCATATTTTTAGTCTTATATATCAGGATAACTTGGGTAGGTCTGTTGCTGAAAAAAATAAAAAAATATATTAAAAAATGACTGCAATAGTTTTGTTATTACATTTTGTTTATTACATCATATTTACTGTCATCAGTCTCATAACTTGACAATTATGAGAGCTACAGATAGTTCTACCATCAACATACAATGCTAAAAATAAATATCTTTCTCCTGCAGATTGCAACTGTGACCGTGGAGGCTCAGTGCGTATGGCTTGTGACAAAACCACTGGTCAGTGTCAGTGTAAGCAGAGGGTCACTGGACAAAAGTGTGACAAGTAGGTGCACTTTTAGATAGGTATTTAAAGGGTTAATTAGTTGCTGGAAAAAAGTGTGGCAGGAAAGGCAGATTCTAACAAAAGTGTCATCTTTGAATATCTCTTTAACCTGATCATGAACTCTTTTGGAGTCCAATTTTTTTTCTTCTGATTTCATCAACTGGTTTCAAAAAGAGGTGAAAATCGAAAATTTGTATCAACTATCTATCTATCATTAACAAATAATGTAAACTGTAAACTTTGTATTAACTAACAGGGCCATCACTGGCAACTTTGTACCTACCTTACATCAGTACAAGTTTGAAGTTGAAGACGGAGTAACTCCAGAAGGTGCTAGAATCAAATATGGCTACGATGAAAATATTTTCCCTAACTTTTCCTGGAGAGGTTATGGAATCCTCACCAAAGTACAGGTAACATCAACATTCCACTTCTAGTCAGGATGTGGCTGTATAAGAACCGTGTAATCAATGAAATAACTACCACAACATTTTATTTTATTTTCAACTGCTTTATTTTTGTATCCCAATTCTTCCAGCCTGAAGTGAAGCTTGATGTCAACATCCGATCACCCAGTCTCTACCAGATCATCTACAGGTTCACTAATCGGGAGGATAAACTTATTAAAGGGAAAGTAACTCTCACTTCTGATTCACCAACAGAAATCACCCAGGTGAAACAATATTTTTAACACTCAAATTTAGTGATTTGGTTTGTTTTATAGCAATTACTCATCAAAAAAGTAAACTTTTTATTAATATTGGATCTTGATGATGTAGTTTGGTTTGTTTTGTGGCAGTTATTCATTAAAAAAGTATGCAAGTTTTATCAAAATTGGTTCTTGATGATGTAGTTTAAAAACTGAAGACTAATTTTAAACCAATGTTTCCAGACTGGGGAACTGAGTTTTGTGCAGTCAAAGGATCCGAGGTTCACCACCGTGTCCAGTGGCAACACCCAGTCCTCTTTTGTCCTGAACCCTGGTATATGGATTGTCTCCACTACAGTCCCTGACCAAGTCCAGCTGGTAAAGTATTATTCATTCCTAAAAAATCATTGAAGTCTCTTAGATTATTTTTTTTTCAATATTATAATCCACTTCAATAGGCAGCTTATTCAAAATAAATTTCTCACCATTTTTGTAACAAGGCAGTAAAAGATTTTTCTTGGCTTGTTACCTTTAGGACTACTTTGTCCTGATTCCCCAAGGATATTACGAGGCCAGCCAAGTTCAACAGGCTGTGAAAAATCCTTGCAATGTGACTGGAGATCCTGGGCCGTAAGTAGATAGATACCAGTTGAGGCCCATAAGATACACGCACACATACAATTACCCAAATAAACACACACTCACTCACACACAATGAGATACACAACTCATGAAGCATTAGGCACTTCCTTCACACTTGATTTACAAAGCTTGTTCTACAGACTTAAATCTGGATTCAAACTCGAGACTTTTGGGTTAGCGGTGTCCATTTTTGTCTGTTTCTAGATGTGTCCATTTTTGTCTGTTTCTAAATGTGTAGATTTTTGTCTGTTTCTAAATGTGTCTATTTTTGTCTGTCTCTAGATGTGTCCACTTTTGTCTGTCTCTAGATGTGTCTATTATTGTCTGTTTCTAAATGTGTCTATTTTTGTCTGTTTCTAAATGTTTCTATTTTTGTCTGTCTCTAGATGTGTCCACTTTTGCCTGTCTCTAGATGTGTCCATTTTTGTCTGATTCTAAATGTGTCTATATTTGTCTGTCTCTAAATGTGTCTATTTTTGTCTGTCTCTAGATGTGTCCACTTTTGTCTGTCTCTAGATGTGTCTATTTTTGTCTGTTTCTAAATGTGTCTATATTTGTCTGTCTCTAAATGTGTCTATTTTTGTCTGTCTCTAGATGTGTCCACTTTTGTCTGTCTCTAGATGTGTCCATTTTTGTCTGATTCTAAATGTGTCTATATTTGTCTGTCTCTAAATGTGTCTATTTTTGTCTGTCTCTAGATGTGTCCACTTTTGTCTGTCTCTAGATGTGTCTATTTTTGTCTGTTTCTAAATGTGTCTATATTTGTCTGTCTCTAAATGTGTCTATTTTTGTCTGTCTCTAGATGTGTCCACTTTTGTCTGTCTCTAGATGTGTCTATTTTTGTCTGTTTCTAAATGTGTCTATATTTGTCTGTCTCTAAATGTGTCTATTTTTGTCTGTCTCTAAATGTGTCCATTTTTGTCTGTTTCTAAATGTGTTCATTTTTGTCTGTCTCTAGATGTGTCCACTTTAGTTACCCTGACCTTTTTGGCAACCCAACTGGTCTGGGAAAAAATGGCTATGTGGAGCTGGATGGCATGAGAGGCGACGCCCAGCAGAATCCTAACGAGCTTTTGAGCAACAACCTTGGCTCACCTGGACTAGTGCACATCACTGAACAGCAGGTAAAGGGTTAAGCAGATCAAAGAAACCGAAGCTCTGAGACCTGTGAGGCTTATATCTCTACTCACTTCAGCTTTATGGTTTATATCTCTACTCACTTCAGCTTTTAGGTTTATATCTCTACTCACTTCAGCTTTTAGGTTTATATCTCTACTCACTTCAGCTTTATGGTTTATATCTCTACTCACTTCAGCTTTTAGCTTTATATCTCTACTCACTTCCGCTTTTAGGTTTATATCTCTACTCACTTCAGCTTTTAGCTTTATATCTCTACTCACTTCAGCTTTATGGTTTATATCTCTACTCACTTCAGCTTTTAGGTTTATATCTCTACTCACTTCAGCTTTTAGGTTTATATCTCTACTCACTTCAGCTTTTAGCTTTATATCTCTACTCACTTCAGCTTTTAGCTTTATATCTCTACTCACTGCAGCAAAACATTTTTTATCTAGACTAATAGCAGAGATACGAATATGTTTTATTGTATTTCTAATGTGTCCGTGCCTTTAAATTATTTGTTGCTGAACTTGTTTCAGAGAGGTTTCTGGATTGACCTGGATGTGCCTACCCCTGATGAGTATTTGATCATTGTCTCCTACCACAACCCAAAGAATGTTTCTAAAGACTTGGATGTTCAAGTGCGCACTACAGCAGGCAGCAGGGATGGGAAGATCACTCTCGCCAGTTGTCCTTTTGGGTTGGTCATAGTTATCTTCTCTTGTCATAATGCTGAAGAGATTTCAAAATGAATATAAAATCCACAAAGCTACAATCTTTTCATGTTATTTCCTAGATCCCTATGTCGACAAGTTATAAAATCGACAAAGCTGCAATCTTTTCATAATGTTTCCTAGATCCCTATGTCGACAAGTTATAAAATCAACAAAGCTACAATCTTTTTATGTTATTTCCTAGATCCCTATGTCAACAAGTTATAAAATCCACAAAGCTGCAATCTTTTCATAATGTTTCCTAGATCCCTATGTCGACAAGTTATAAAATCAACAAAGCTACAATCTTTTCATGTTATTTCCTAGATCCCTATGTCGACAAGTTATCAAGGATCAGAATGGATTTGAGGCTATTTTTAATATAACCACAGGGGTGGCTTCTATTTATATCAGTGCACCAGATGCAGGGCAAGATACAGATGTTTCTATTGTAAGTTCACTCTTTCATTGTTTTTGTTTTACTGTTAGTTAAAGGGTTAAAGTAACCTAATAACTCTCATTGGAATTCTGTGTATGGTTTTAAGCTTTCTTTTTGTAGTCAGAATTCTGTAGGGTGTAAATAATTGTATTTTTGAATTTGTAAATAGCTATGTTTAGATTTTAGGATTTGTTTATTTGTAATGACCTATATTTTTTTTCAGGATTCTGTATATGGTGTAAAACGCTCTGTCTGGAATCATGATTACATAATGCCAAGGATTATCTGCATCAAAGTCAACGGCGTGTAAGAGCTTTTTTTTTAAAACAGCTATTTGAGAGCAAACAGTTTTTGTTTATTTAGTAATGGTAAAACCTACCTACTTGAAAGATGATTGGATTATTTATCAGCTGTAGTCTATAACCTAAATATTTAGTCTACCAGCTGTAAAATCTCAATAATTTTTTTACCAGTTGTATAAACTCAATATTTTGTTTACTAGCTGTATAACCTCAATAATTTATTAACCAGCTATATAACCCCAATTCTTTTTTTACCAGGTGTATAACCTAAATATTTGTTTACCAGCTGTATAACCCCAATTCTTTTTTTACCAGGTGTATAACCTAAATAATTTGTTTACCAGGTGTATAACCTAAATAATTTGTTTACCAGGTGTATAACCTAAATAATTTGTTTACCAGCTGTATAACCCCAATTCTTTGTTTACCAGGTGTATAACTTCAACTTACGGTCACCCAGTTGGATCTGTTAGAATAGAATTTGAGCAGTCACCCAACGAAGCTCTCATCTCCACTGTGCCACCTCCAGATATTCATGACAAAAATGCCGGCCTTGTCAACTTAGATGACACAATTAAATTTGTGGTAACTTAAATATTTCATTTGTAATAGTTTGGCCTAGACATTAGAATGTGCATGATATTTTAATGGACCAACAACATTGTACTTATAAAACAACAAACTTTAGTTCTAGTACCTATAAAATTTCAAACAAATAACCCTAGGTTTTTGATATTTAAATTTTGAAAGAACCAACTCTAGATCTAGTAAATTTAAGTTTTGAATCAATAAATTCTAAGTCTAGGTCATTTAACTTTTTAAACAAAATAAAACTTTAAGTCTATCAATTAATTCAGACACAAAATTTAATGAAATAAAAACTAAAAAAAGTATTATAATTTTTAAAATTCTTAGGATCAAACTCTTTGTCCAATCCATGAAAATGACAAGGCAGATCAGTGTAAGACAGAAAAATTGAGAACAGTGGTAAGTCTAGTTACTGTTGTCAGTAAAGAGCACATAATATATTTTAGTGATCTTGCTAACACAACTATTTTAATAAATGAAATTGGTAATTTTGCTTATAAGTAAAAATACATTTTCAGCTTTGTAAAAATATAACTGTTTCATTTTCAGTTAAATGAAAAGGTTAATAAAAAATGCAGCTCTATTTCTTTTATGTTTATTTTAAGTATTATTTTGTGGTGGTTTTTTTTTCTATATTCCTATAACATTGTTTATTTTAAGTATTATTTTGTGTGTTGTTTTTTCCTCTAGATTCCTATAACACTGTTTGGCAAAGTTACAAAACCTGGCCAATATGTCTTTGTTGTCCATTACTACATGCCCAGTCTGGCTGGCCTCAACATACCAATTACCATGTATGTGGATGGAAAAGAATTTACAGGTAAAAGAGTCTGATTTTTAATTTGCTTTTCTTCCTGTATTTTCAGGAAACAAAAGGTTGAACCCTTAACCTAGAAATAGGAAATTTTTTTTTAACAAAATAGGCTTTTCAGTTAATTGAGATCTTTTTGTGTGAATAATGTATAGGCTCTGATTTGGCTAAGCTTAGTTACTGTAAAAACTAACAATCCACATATGAAATCCACATATGACATTGTGTGCAGGTACATTCAGCCCCATCTACTGCCCCAATATTGTGGGCTGTCGTGAAACTATCAAGTTTGACGCCACTGGGGGCAACGCCCTACGCATGACAGCAACTGATGTCAAAGTCGTCTTCAACAGCACTACTGGCGGGAAAATTTGGCTGGTCAGTTGTTGTAATCATCTGCATAAACAATCTCTGCTCCATGCTATATTTATAACTCTTACACAGTATTACCTACTCAATGTGACTATTTTTATTTACTCTAACAAAGGATTATCTAGTAATTGTTTATTTTGAAACAGGATTACCTACTAATTGCGAATATTTTTGTTTACTCTAACAAAGGATTATCTAGTAATTGTTTATTTTGAAACAGGATTACCTACTAATTGCGAATATTTTTGTTTACTCTAACAAAGGATTATCTAGTAATTGTTTATTTTGAAACAGGATTACCTACTAATTGCGAATATTTTTGTTTACTCTAACAAAGGATTATCTAGTAATTGTTTATTTTGAAACAGGATTACCTACTAATTGCGAATATTTTTGTTTACTCTAACAAAAGATTATCTAGTAATTGTTTATTTTGAAACAGGATTACCTACTAATTGCAAATATTTTTGTTTACTCTAACAAAGGATTATCTAGTAATTGTTTATTTTGAAACAGGATTACCTACTAATTGCAAATATTTTTGTTTACTCTAACAAAGGATTATCTAGTAATTGTTTATTTTGAAACAGGATTACCTACTAATTGCAAATATTTTTGTTTACTCTAACAAAGGATAATGTAGTAATTGTTTACTTTTGAAACAGGATTACCTACTAATAGTTCCACAAGACCAATATAAATATGATGTACTGGATGTGCAACCAATTGATAAATCTGGAGAGTTTTTAAATTTATGTGTGGATGAAGGGTTTCAACTCAGGTAAATATTTTGACAGTTTGATTTTAAGGTTTACTGTAATCTAATTATTTAGTTAAGTAGTAGGTTTTATATGAGGTTTATATAAGGCTTATATGAGGTTTTATATAAGGTATTTAAACTATGACAAAAACTAAAGATAAAAAAAACAAAAAATGCCCATTTGTTCAGGTCTGATGAAGAGTTCTGTAAGGACGGAGCTTTTACACTGACCACCAACTTCAACAACGGAGCATTGGACTGCAACTGTAACCCAGATGGTTCCAGAAGTTTCACCTGCGACTCATTTGGTGGCAACTGCCAGTGTCGTGAGAACATTATTGGCCGCACCTGTTCAGCTTGCAGACCTGGTTTCTACGGCTTCCCCAACTGCAAAGGTTGGGACCTCGCAATAGCTCTTAAACAATTTCAGTTGTAGTTGCAGAGTTATTTTTTTGTCTTCGCTTTATTTTGCTTGTCTTAAAAAATGCTGACAAAAAAAAAAAAAATTGTTGTTATTGTAAAATTTCTCATTTAACCACAGACATATGTTTCTCCAACCATAACTTTTGGCCTATGTTACTGATATCATTTGTCTGTCCACAGCTTGTAACTGTCCCTATGGCCTGTGCCATGAAGTTACTGGTGAATGTATTTGTCCCCAACTGGTTGAGGGCAGCAAGTGTGATGTCTGTAAACCTCAAGCCTACGGATATGATGCATTAATTGGATGTCAGGTAAAAATATCACACACCAAATTTCATTTCTTATCTTAATTAGGTATGTAGAAAATATAAAAGTTTGATTCATAATTTTTTTTCTTACCATTGGTAACAAACAATTTTTTTTTTACCATTGATAACAAAAATATTTTTCTTACCATTGATAACAAACAATTTTTTTCTTACCATCGATAACAAACAATTTTTTTCTTACCATTGATAAACGTAAGAATTAAGTAAAAATTGTAATGGCTAACCGCTGCATCCACAGCTGTGCAGGTGTAACAGTGCTGGGGTAGAGAACGGAAACCTCAACTGTGACCAGATATCTGGACAGTGCAAGTATGTTTGCTCAATCTTTACTCAACTTCTAGCTCTTTAATTCATCCTCCTTAAATGGGGACGAATGGATAAATAACTGTTTTTTAAGTAGGTTTCAATTATTAAACATTAATGTGGCAAAAGTTTTAGTTCAATTTTTTTATAATAGAGGTTAGGTTTAAAGTTTGCTGAGGTTTTAAATTTTAAAACAAAAATGGTATGAAATTAAAAACTATCTTTAATTTTCTTTTATTTAGATTGAACATACTTATTATTTAGGCCAGTATAGTTGTATTGTTTCAGAAGGCACCTAATTTTTGTTTTAAAGAAGAGTATTTTAAATATACCTACAAACACAAAATAGAACTACTTCATTTTATCAATTGCTTAACTTTCTCCATAAGCTCTCAATGGCTACACATTTGTCTTCTAGTTGCAAGCCCAACATCGGAGGTAGAAAATGTGATATTTGCTTGCCAGGGTACCACACTTTCCCATACTGCCAGGATTGTGGCTGTGACAGGAAGGGCACTAAGTCTGGAATTTGTGACACATCAACTGGACAGTGCATTTGCAAGGTACAGATTTTTAGAACATTTCATTTTAGTTGTACATTTGGATTTTAAATTTTAATACAGAATCAATAAAACAAGGTAATTAAAAAGTCTAGTGACAATTTTAGCGCAATTTCCTTATGTTATCTAAAAATAGCTCTGTCGTAGCGTAAATCAAGAGCAGGGTTAGTAAAACCATTGGTTAGTTATCAAAACGTTTTTTATTAATTTTTTTCAGTATTTTACATGTTTTATTTACAATAGAGTTACATGACTAAAAACCATTGCGCGCCTACTGAACGTGATGGCGCAGCCATGGAACGCGATGGCGCAGCTATTGAACGTGATGACGCGTGTGGTGTGGTTGGAAAAAATGCCTACTAATTCGGTCCAAATTTTAATTAATTCAAAAAAATTTTTGTGATCGAACGAAAGGATTTTTTTTGAAAACTTTCTTCGGCAATATTGTTCTAAATTATGGCAGGAATCGATTGGTACATGTTTCAAGTCGCTTAGTGGTCTGGTTGCCGAGATATGGGCCAAAAACTGCTTTTTTTTCGAGGTTTTTTTGGCTTTTCTGGGAAATCCATGAAAGAAACCCGTAATTTTTATGGCCTATGTTCATCCTCGTAACTTGCTTAACATAATTGCTTTTGGAACTAGTCATCGATATTGCTTCGTTGAGGAGGAGATACGACTTAAAGCCCGGACACACATTCATCCATACATTCATTCATACATCCATACATTCATCCATCCATTCCCAGAAATGACGAGTTAATAAACGCAATTCTCCAGAATGGAAATTGCGCTAAAAAATATTAAGAAACTTTGTGTGATGCTATACTTAATGATTTAAATCTGTAAGACAACTTGACAATTTCAGATGTGACAAATGTATAAAATTTATCAGAAAAATGTTGAGGGATCTCTGTGTGAAAGTTGACTGATTTATTGATGTGATAAATGTATAAAATTTGTCAGAAAAATTTTGTCATGTATTGATGTGATTATTTTATAAAATTTATCAGAAAAATGTTGAGGGATCTCTGTGTGAAAGTTGACTGGTTTCTAGATGTAAAAAATGTATAAAAATTTGTTAAGAAAATGAGAAAGTTGACTGATTTATTAGATAAATTTATAAAGTTTGTCAGGAAAATGTTGTCATTTATTGATGTGATAAATTTATAAAATTTGTCAGGAAAATGTTGTCATTTATTGATGTGATAAATGTATAAAATTTGTCAGGAAAATGTGGAGGGATCTCTGTGTGAAAGCTGCTCTGACGGCTACTTCAGTCTGACAGCTGAGAACCCTAAAGGTTGCATCAGGTGCTTCTGTTTTGGCCACACTACCAGGTGTGACAGTGCTGGACTTAGCTGGGACCAGGTGAGAACTTGGTCACTTTTTTAACTCAGGGTTAAATTGGTAGCTCATCTAGGTAAGTCAAAATTTTTAGCTCAGGATTAAATTGATTGCTCAACTAGGTAGGTCAAAGTTTAAGCTGAGATTATGTTAGCACCTGTCTAGGTAGGTCAAAGTTTTTAGCTGGGGTTACATAAGGAGGTTTTAAATCATTGCTCTGTTAAAATTTTGAAAAATTAAATGTTTGATGGATACTGAATAAATATTTAGTTTTTTTCTTCACTGGGTGTAGAGATATGTGATTTTTTTGAGAAATTTTGTTTTGCATTCAAATTTTGTTTGACCACTTATGTAGGTGAACGAAAATTTTTTGTCACATTCAAATTTTGTTTGACTATTTTTGTAGGTGAATGAAATGTCAGGCTGGCAAGTGACCAATGCTGGAAACAGTCAAGTCAACACTGTCTTTAACACCGCCCAGCTCGTATTTGAAGCTGATGATCCAGAGGAGAAGAACAATGTGTACTGGGTAGCCCCAGCTGCTTTTCTTGGAAGACAGGTACCATAAGCTAGTGTAGTTAACCTAGTAGCAGACATAGGCTAGTGTAGTTAACCTAGTAGCAGACATAGACTAGTGTAGTTAACCTAGTAGCAGACATAGGCTAGTGTAGTTAACCTAGTAGCAGACATAGACTAGTGTAGTTAACCTAGTAGCAGATATAGGCTAGTGTAGTTAACCTAGTAGCAGACGTAGGCTAGTGTAGTTAACCTAGTAGCAGACATAGGCTAGTGTAGTTAACCTAGTAGCAGACATAGGCTAGTGTAGTTAACCTAGTAGCAGACATTTGCTAGTGTAGTTAACCTAGTAGCAGACATAGGCTAGGGTAGTTAACCTAGTAGCAGACATAGACTAGTGTAGTTAACCTTGTAGCAGACACAGGCTAGTGTAGTTAACCTAGTAGCAGACATAGGCTAGTGTAGTTAACCTAGTAGCAGACATAGGCTAGGTTAACCTAGTAGCAGACATAGACTAGTGTAGTTAACCTAGTAGCAGACGTAGGCTAGTGTAGTTAACCTAGTAGCAGACATAGGCTAGTGTAGTTAACCTAGTAGCAGACATAGGCTAGTGTAGTTAACCTAGTAGCAGACATAGACTAGTGTAGTTAACCTAGTAGCAGACATAGGCTAGGGTAGTTAACCTAGTAGCAGACATAGGCTAGTGTAGTTAACCTAGTAGCAGACATAGACTAGTGTAGTTAACCTAGTAGCAGATATAGGCTAGGTTAACCTAGTAGTAGACATAGACTAGTGTAGTTAACCTAGTAGCAGACATAGGCTAGGTTAACCTAGTAGCAGACATAGGCTAGTGTAGTTAACCTAGTAGCAGACATAGGCTAGTGTAGTTAACCTAGTAGCAGATATAGACTAGTGTAGTTAACCTAGTAGCAGACATAGGCTAGTGTAGTTAACCTAGTAGCAGACATAGGCTAGGTTAACCTAGTAGCAGACATAGGCTAGTGTAGTTAACCTAGTAGCAGACATAGGCTAGTGTAGTTAACCTAGTAGCAAACATAGGCTAGGTTAACCTAGTAGCAGACATAGGCTAGTGTAGTTAACCTAGTAGCAGACATAGGCTAGTGTAGTTAACCTAGTAGCAGATATAGGCTAGTGTAGTTAACATAGTAGCAGATATAGGCTAGTGTAGTTAACCTAGTAGCAGACATAGGCTAGTGTAGTTAACCTAGTAGCAGACATAGGGTAGTGTACTTAACCTAGTAGCAGACATAGACTAGTGTAGTTAACCTAGTAGCAGACATAGGCTAGTGTAGTTAACCTAGTAGCAGACATAGGCTAGTGTAGTTAACCTAGTAGCAGACATTTGCTAGTGTAGTTAACCTAGTAGCAGACACAGGCTAGTGTAGTTAACCTAGTAGCAGACATAGGCTAGTGTAGTTAACCTAGTAGCAGACATTTGCTAGTGTAGTTAACCTAGTAGCAGACATAGGCTAGTGTAGTTAACCTAGTAGCAGACATAGACTAGTGTAGTTAACCTAGTAGCAGACATAGACTAGTGTAGTTAACCTAGTAGCAGACATTTGCTAGTGTAGTTAACCTAGTAGCAGACATAGACTAGTGTAGTTAACCTAGTAGCAGACATTTGCTAGTGTAGTTAACCTAGTAGCAGACATAGGCTAGTGTAGTTAACCTAGTAGCAGACATAGGCTAGGTTAACCTAGTAGCAGACATGGACTAGTGTAGTTAACCTAGTAGCAGACATAGACTAGTGTAGTTAACCTAGTAGCAGACATAGGCTAGGTTAACCTAGTAGCAGACATGGACTAGTGTAGTTAACCTAGTAGCAGACATAGACTAGTGTAGTTAACCTAGTAGCAGACATAGGCTAGTGTAGTTAACCTAGTAGCAGACATTTGCTAGTGTACTTAACCTAGTAGCAGACATAGGCTAGTGTAGTTAACCTAGTAGCAGACATAGGCTAGGTTAACCTAGTAGCAGACATAGGCTAGGTTAACCTAGTAGCAGACATAGGCTAGTGTAGTTAACCTAGTAGCAGACATAGGCTAGTGTAGTTAACCTAGTAGCAGACATAGGCTAGGTTAACCTAGTAGCAGACATAGGCTAGGTTAACCTAGTAGCAGACATAGACTAGTGTAGTTAACCTAGTAGCAGACATAGGCTAGGTTAACCTAGTAGCAGACATAGGCTAGGTTAACCTAGTAGCAGACATAGGCTAGTGTAGTTAACCTAGTAGCAGACATAGGCTAGTGTAGTTAACCTAGTAGCAGACATAGACTAGGTTAACCTAGTAGCAGACATAGGCTAGTGTAGTTAACCTAGTAGCAGACACAGGCTAGTGTAGTTAACCTAGTAGCAGACATAGACTAGTGTAGTTAACCTAGTAGCAGACATAGGCTAGTGTAGTTAACCTAGTAGCAGACACAGGCTAGTGTAGTTAACCTAGTAGCAGACATAGGCTAGTGTAGTTAACCTAGTAGCAGACATAGGCTAGTGTAGTTAACCTAGTAGCAGACATAGACTAGTGTAGTTAACCTAGTAGCAGACATAGGCTAGTGTAGTTAACCTAGTAGCAGACACAGGCTAGTGTAGTTAACCTAGTAGCAGACATAGGCTAGTGTAGTTAACCTAGTAGCAGACATAGACTAGTGTAGTTAACCTAGTAGCAGACATAGGCTAGTGTAGTTAACCTAGTAGCAGACATAGACTAGTGTAGTTAACCTAGTAGCAGACATAGGCTAGTGTAGTTAACCTAGTAGCAGACATAGGGTAGTGTAGTTAACCTAGTAGCAGACATAGACTAGTGTAGTTAACCTAGTAGCAGACATAGGCTAGTGTAGTTAACCTAGTAGCAGACACAGGCTAGTGTAGTTAACCTAGTAGCAGACATTTGCTAGTGTACTTAACCTAGTAGCAGACATAGGCTAGTGTAGTTAACCTAGTAGCAGACATAGACTAGTGTAGTTAACCTAGTAGCAGACATAGACTAGTGTAGTTAACCTAGTAGCAGACATAGACTAGTGTAGTTAACCTAGTAGCAGACATAGACTAGGTTAACCTAGTAGCAGACATAGGCTAGTGTAGTTAACCTAGTAGCAGACATAGGCTAGGTTAACCTAGTAGCAGACATAGGCTAGTGTAGTTAACCTAGTAGCAGACATAGGCTAGGTTAACCTAGTAGCAGACATAGACTAGTGTAGTTAACCTAGTAGCAGACATAGACTAGTGTAGTTAACCTAGTAGCAGACATAGACTAGTGTAGTTAACCTAGTAGCAGACATAGACTAGTGTAGTTAACCTAGTAGCAGACATAGACTAGTGTAGTTAACCTAGTAGCAGACATAGACTAGGTTAACCTAGTAGCAGACATTTGCTAGTGTAGTTAACCTAGTAGCAGACATAGGCTAGGTTAACCTAGTAGCAGACATAGGCTAGTGTAGTTAACCTAGTAGCAGACATAGGCTAGGTTAACCTAGTAGCAGACATAGACTAGTGTAGTTAACCTAGTAGCAGACATAGACTAGTGTAGTTAACCTAGTAGCAGACATAGACTAGTGTAGTTAACCTAGTAGCAGACATAGACTAGTGTAGTTAACCTAGTAGCAGACATAGACTAGGTTAACCTAGTAGCAGACATTTGCTAGTGTAGTTAACCTAGTAGCAGACATAGGCTAGGTTAACCTAGTAGCAGACATAGGCTAGTGTAGTTAACCTAGTAGCAGACATAGGCTAGGTTAACCTAGTAGCAGACATAGACTAGTGTAGTTAACCTAGTAGCAGACATAGGCTAGTGTAGTTAACCTAGTAGCAGACATAGGCTAGTGTAGTTAACCTAGTAGCAGACATAGACTAGTGTAGTTAACCTAGTAGCAGACATAGGCTAGTGTAGTTAACCTAGTAGCAGACACAGGCTAGTGTAGTTAACCTAGTAGCAGACATAGACTAGTGTAGTTAACCTAGTAGCAGACATAGACTAGTGTAGTTAACCTAGTAGCAGACATGGACTAGTGTAGTTAACCTAGTAGCAGACATAGGCTAGTGTAGTTAACCTAGTAGCAGACATAGACTAGTGTAGTTAACCTAGTAGCAGACATAGGCTAGTGTAGTTAACCTAGTAGCAGACATAGACTAGTGTAGTTAACCTAGTAGCAGACATAGGCTAGTGTAGTTAACCTAGTAGCAGACATAGGCTAGTGTAGTTAACCTAGTAGCAGACATAGACTAGTGTAGTTAACCTAGTAGTAGACACAGGCTAGTGTAGTTAACCTAGTAGCAGACATAGGCTAGGTTAACCTAGTAGCAGACATAGGCTAGTGTAGTTAACCTAGTAGCAGACACAGGCTAGTGTAGTTAACCTAGTAGCAGATATAGGCTAGTGTAGTTAACCTAGTAGCAGACACAGGCTAGTGTAGTTAACCTAGTAGCAGACACAGACTAGTGTAGTTAACCTAGTAGCAGACATAGGCTAGTGTAGTTAACCTAGTAGCAGACATAGGCTAGTGTAGTTAACATAGTAGCAGACATAGGCTAGTGTAGTTAACCTAGTAGCAGACATAGGCTAGTGTAGTTAACCTAGTAGCAGACATAGGCTAGGTTAACCTAGTAGCAGACATAGGCTAGTGTAGTTAACCTAGTAGCAGACATAGGCTAGTGTAGTTAACCTAGTAGCAGATATAGGCTAGTGTAGTTAACCTAGTAGCAGACATAGGCTAGTGTAGTTAACCTAGTAGCAGACATAGACTAGTGTAGTTAACCTAGTAGCAGACATAGACTAGTGTAGTTAACCTAGTAGCAGACATAGGCTAGGTTAACCTAGTAGTAGACATAGGCTAGGTTAACCTAGTAGCAGACATAGACTAGTGTAGTTAACCTAGTAGCAGACATAGGCTAGTGTAGTTAACCTAGTAGCAGACATAGACTAGTGTAGTTAACCTAGTAGCAGACATAGGCTAGTTAACCTAGTAGCAGATATAGGCTAGTGTAGTTAACCTAGTAGCAGACATAGGCTAGTGTAGTTAACCTAGTAGCAGACATAGGCTAGTGTAGTTAACCTAGTAGCAGACATAGGGTAGTGTAGTTAACCTAGTAGCAGACATAGACTAGTGTAGTTAACCTAGTAGCAGACATAGGCTAGTGTAGTTAACCTAGTAGCAGACATAGGCTAGGGTAGTTAACCTAGTAGCAGACATAGGCTAGTGTAGTTAACCTAGTAGCAGACATAGGCTAGTGTAGTTAACCTAGTAGCAGACATAGACTAGTGTAGTTAACCTAGTAGCAGACACAGGCTAGTGTAGTTAACCTAGTAGCAGACATAGGCTAGGTTAACCTAGTAGCAGACATAGACTAGTGTAGTTAACCTAGTAGCAGACATAGACTAGTGTAGTTAACCTAGTAGCAGACATAGGCTAGTGTAGTTAACATAGTAGCAGACATAGACTAGTGTAGTTAACCTAGTAGCAGACATAGACTAGTGTAGTTAACCTAGTAGCAGACATAGGCTAGTGTAGTTAACCTAGTAGCAGACACAGGCTAGTGTAGTTAACCTAGTAGCAGACATAGGCTAGGTTAACCTAGTAGCAGACATAGGCTAGTTAACCTAGTAGCAGACATAGGCTAGTGTAGTTAACCTAGTAGCAGACATAGGCTAGGTTAACCTAGTAGCAGACATAGGCTAGTGTAGTTAACCTAGTAGCAGACATAGGCTAGTTAACCTAGTAGCAGACATAGGCTAGTGTAGTTAACCTAGTAGCAGACATAGGCTAGTGTAGTTAACCTAGTAGCAGACATAGACTAGTGTAGTTAACATAGTAGCAGACATAGGCTAGTGTAGTTAACATAGTAGCAGACATAGGCTAGGTTAACCTAGTAGCAGACATAGGCTAGTGTAGTTAACATAGTAGCAGACATAGGCTAGTGTAGTTAACCTAGTAGCAGACATAGACTAGGTTAACCTAGTAGCAGACATAGGCTAGGTTAACCTAGTAGCAGACATAGGCTAGTGTAGTTAACCTAGTAGCAGACATAGACTAGTGTAGTTAACCTAGTAGCAGACATAGGTTAGTGTAGTTAACCTAGTAGCAGACATAGGCTAGTGTAGTTAACCTAGTAGCAGACATAGACTAGTGTAGTTAACCTAGTAGCAGACATAGGCTAGTGTAGTTAACCTAGTAGCAGACATAGACTAGTGTAGTTAACCTAGTAGCAGATATAGGCTAGGTTAACCTAGTAGCAGACATAGACTAGTGTAGTTAACCTAGTAGCAGACATAGACTAGTGTAGTTAACATAGTAGCAGACATAGGCTAGTGTAGTTAACCTAGTAGCAGACATAGGCTAGGTTAACCTAGTAGCAGACATAGGCTAGTGTAGTTAACCTAGTAGCAGACATAGGCTAGTGTAGTTAACCTAGTAGCAGACATAGGCTAGTTAACCTAGTAGCAGATATAGGCTAGTGTAGTTAACCTAGTAGCAGACATAGGCTAGGTTAACCTAGTAGCAGACATAGACTAGTGTAGTTAACATAGTAGCAGACATAGGCTAGTGTAGTTAACATAGTAGCAGATATAGGCTAGTGTAGTTAACCTAGTAGCAGACATAGGCTAGGTTAACCTAGTAGCAGACATAGGCTAGTGTAGTTAACCTAGTAGCAGACACAGGCTAGTGTAGTTAACCTAGTAGCAGACACAGACTAGTGTAGTTAACCTAGTAGCTGACATAGGCTAGTGTAGTTAACCTAGTAGCAGACATTTGCTAGTGTAGTTAACCTAGTAGCAGACATAGGCTAGGTTAACCTAGTAGCAGACATAGACTAGTGTAGTTAACCTAGTAGCAGACATAGGCTAGTGTAGTTAACCTAGTAGCAGACATAGGCTAGTGTAGTTAACCTAGTAGCAGACATAGGCTAGTTAACCTAGTAGCAGATATAGGCTAGTGTAGTTAACCTAGTAGCAGACGTAGGCTAGTGTAGTTAACATAGTAGCAGACATAGGCTAGTGTAGTTAACATAGTAGCAGATATAGGCTAGTGTAGTTAACCTAGTAGCAGACATAGGCTAGGTTAACCTAGTAGCAGACATAGGCTAGTGTAGTTAACCTAGTAGCAGACACAGGCTAGTGTAGTTAACCTAGTAGCAGACACAGACTAGTGTAGTTAACCTAGTAGCTGACATAGGCTAGTGTAGTTAACCTAGTAGCAGACATAGGGTAGTGTAGTTAACATAGTAGCAGACATAGGCTAGTGTAGTTAACATAGTAGCAGATATAGGCTAGTGTAGTTAACCTAGTAGCAGACATAGGCTAGGTTAACCTAGTAGCAGACATAGGCTAGTGTAGTTAACCTAGTAGCAGACACAGGCTAGTGTAGTTAACCTAGTAGCAGACACAGACTAGTGTAGTTAACCTAGTAGCTGACATAGGCTAGTGTAGTTAACCTAGTAGCAGACATAGGCTAGTTAACCTAGTAGCAGATATAGGCTAGTGTAGTTAACCTAGTAGCAGACGTAGGCTAGTGTAGTTAACCTAGTAGCAGACATAGGCTAGTGTAGTTAACCTAGTAGCAGACATAGGCTAGTGTAGTTAACCTAGTAGCAGACATAGGCTAGTGTAGTTAACCTAGTAGCAGACATAGACTAGTGTAGTTAACCTAGTAGCAGACATAGGCTAGTGTAGTTAACCTAGTAGCAGACATAGGCTAGGTTAACCTAGTAGTAGACATAGACTAGTGTAGTTAACCTAGTAGCAGACATAGGGTAGTGTAGTTAACCTAGTAGCAGACATAGACTAGTGTAGTTAACCTAGTAGCAGACATAGGCTAGGTTAACCTAGTAGCAGACATAGGCTAGGTTAACCTAGTAGCAGACACAGGCTAGTGTAGTTAACCTAGTAGCAGACATAGGCTAGTGTAGTTAACATAGTAGCAGATATAGGCTAGTGTAGTTAACCTAGTAGCAGACATAGACTAGTGTAGTTAACCTAGTAGCAGACATAGGCTAGGTTAACCTAGTAGCAGACATAGGCTAGGTTAACCTAGTAGCAGACATGGACTAGTGTAGTTAACATAGTAGCAGACATAGGCTAGTGTAGTTAACATAGTAGCAGATATAGGCTAGTGTAGTTAACCTAGTAGCAGACATAGACTAGTGTAGTTAACCTAGTAGCAGACATAGGCTAGGTTAACCTAGTAGCAGACATAGGCTAGGTTAACCTAGTAGCAGACACAGGCTAGTGTAGTTAACCTAGTAGCAGACATAGACTAGTGTAGTTAACCTAGTAGCAGACATAGGCTAGGTTAACCTAGTAGCAGACATAGGCTAGGTTAACCTAGTAGCAGACACAGGCTAGTGTAGTTAACCTAGTAGCAGACATAGGCTAGTGTAGTTAACATAGTAGCAGATATAGGCTAGTGTAGTTAACCTAGTAGCAGACATAGGCTAGGTTAACCTAGTAGCAGACATAGACTAGTGTAGTTAACCTAGTAGCAGACATAGGCTAGTGTAGTTAACCTAGTAGCAGACATAGACTAGTGTAGTTAACCTAGTAGCAGACATAGGCTAGTGTAGTTAACCTAGTAGCAGACATAGGCTAGTGTAGTTAACCTAGTAGCAGACATAGGCTAGTGTAGTTAACATAGTAGCAGACATAGGCTAGTGTAGTTAACATAGTAGCAGATATAGGCTAGTGTAGTTAACCTAGTAGCAGACATAGGCTAGGTTAACCTAGTAGCAGACATAGACTAGTGTAGTTAACCTAGTAGCAGACATAGGCTAGTGTAGTTAACCTAGTAGCAGACATAGACTAGTGTAGTTAACCTAGTAGCAGACATAGGCTAGTGTAGTTAACCTAGTAGCAGACATAGGCTAGGTTAACCTAGTAGTAGACATAGGCTAGGTTAACCTAGTAGCAGACATAGACTAGTGTAGTTAACCTAGTAGCAGACATAGGCTAGTGTAGTTAACCTAGTAGCAGACATAGGCTAGTTAACCTAGTAGCAGATATAGGCTAGTGTAGTTAACCTAGTAGCAGACACAGGCTAGTGTAGTTAACCTAGTAGCAGACATAGGCTAGGTTAACCTAGTAGTAGACATAGGCTAGGTTAACCTAGTAGCAGACATAGACTAGTGTAGTTAACCTAGTAGCAGACATAGACTAGTGTAGTTAACCTAGTAGCAGACATAGACTAGGTTAACCTAGTAGCAGACATAGGCTAGTGTAGTTAACCTAGTAGCAGACATAGGCTAGTGTAGTTAACCTAGTAGCAGACATAGACTAGTGTAGTTAACCTTGTAGCAGACACAGGCTAGTGTAGTTAACCTAGTAGCAGACATAGGCTAGTGTAGTTAACCTAGTAGCAGACATAGGCTAGTGTAGTTAACCTAGTAGCAGACATAGGCTAGGTTAACCTAGTAGCAGACATAGGCTAGTGTAGTTAACCTAGTAGCAGACATAGGCTAGTGTAGTTAACCTAGTAGCAGACATAGGCTAGTGTAGTTAACCTAGTAGCAGACATAGGCTAGGTTAACCTAGTAGTAGACATAGGCTAGTGTAGTTAACCTAGTAGCAGACATAGACTAGTGTAGTTAACCTAGTAGCAGACATATTTAACCAGGTATCATAGTTAAAGGTTAGTGTAATTTACTAAAAGAAAAAATAATTGTGCACAATTGTATTTAAATACTTTGTCATCTTTCAAGCACTTTCAAGATAATTAAATTAGACTGTAAACAGTGTTTTAAAGTTTCACATGAACCTTAAAATAGTATGTTATATCTAGCTATTTTTATAGTTGTTTGTAGATCAATGCCTAAGTTGTTGTGTTCTATTTAAACCTTGTATATCAATGCCTAAGTTGTTGTGTTCTATTTAAACCTTGTATATCAATGCCTAAGTTTATGTGTTCTATTTAAACCTTGTATATCAATGCCTAAGTTGACGTGTTCTTTTTAAACATTGCAGATCAACGCCTATGGTGGTATGCTGAGGTACACAGTGCAGTTTGCCCTTAAGCCCAATGTGCAGCCCATGAGCATTAGCCAAGCTGATGTCCTAATCAGTGTAAGTTGTGACCTCTTTCTCCGCCTCTTTTATTTATAGTTCAGTCTCTGTCAATCATTTGTTTTCCAGTTTGATGTTTTTTTATTGTTCATAATTACTCGATGCAAAATATTTTTAGATTTGTTTAAATAAAGTTAGTAATTCAATGGTTCAATTATAAAAAATAAAGTAGCTGTGTTAGTTTTAAATGAAAATTGTAACAATGCTTTTTAAAAAAATTTAGGGCAACAACATGACCATAGCCCACTACAGTGAATCTCATCCTTCTCCTGGTGTATCTCTCAGTCTACAGGTGCCACTTGTCCAGGTAATTCTTCATTATTTTATTGCTGCTAATTTCTAGTCATGGGATAATAGCTGCTGTATTCAAAAGTATCTTTCAAGATTTTATCCTTCAGTACTGTAATCAGTGTTTCTTCCAGACATTTTTCTCCGGGGGGGCACTTGAAATCTTCGGGGGGGCGGTAAACTTTCTTTGGGGGGGCGGACACTGTTAAAAGTATATGTTTTCTATATAAATTATATAAATTTCATTTCGTTCGGGGGGAGCGGTAAAAATTTTTCGGGGGGTCAGAGCCCCCCCCCGAAGAGATGCCTGGAAGAAACTCTGACTGTAATAGGCTACAATATTTCATTGTTTCTAGTGAACAAGATTTATAAACCCCTTATCAACATTATCAAAGTTAATTGTAGATTTTTTATTAACTTTTTGGCATTCTTATATCATTCTAGTAATTGTAATCATTTTCTAGTTATTGTTAAATTTTTCTATTAATTCTCATCATTTTCTAGTAATTGTTACATTTTCTGGTAATTTTAAAAAATTTTCTGATAATTATAATCATTTTCCACCAATTGCTAAATTTTCAGTACAATTTTGTTCATTATGGAACCAATTCACCAATATCCAGAGAACAGTTTATGATGATCCTCACTAGCATAGAGTCTCTACAGATCAGGGCATCCCACTACACTTCAATGACAGAGACAAGGTTTGTATTTTGTGTGAGATCCCAAACAGGAATAAACTGCTAATCTTTTGAAGTTTTGTATCACTATATACCTGTTGGAATAGATATTTTATGTATTATTTTCTAAGACTTAACCTTACTATACATGATTATAGTTCTGAAAATAGAGTATAAATTATGAGCTTGTACTTCCTGTCTATGACCTCAGCCTATCAGATGTGTCCCTGGAGGTGGCGTCAGAAAGTGGAACAGGCAGTCTGGCCAACAGTGTTGAGAAGTGTCAATGTCCACCAAACTACAGAGGATTGTCTTGTGAGGTCAGTATGTTTTGTTGTGGTCACTATGTGAGGTCAGTATGTTTTGCTAGATTTATGTTCTAGTTTTTCATTGACTAGGCTGTAACTTTGATAACTTGTATTCCAGGAATGCTCACCTGGCTATTACAGAGTTCGCACCCCACCATTCCTGGGTATTTGCCTTAAGTGTAATTGTAACGGACATTCAGACACCTGCGATGTGGAGACTGGAGAATGCTTTGTAAGTTGTTGTATGTTTATTTGTCTATTATATTTTTATTTGTTTTCTATTATATTTTTATTTGTTAGCGTATTAAATTTTTTTTGTTTGTGAATTATATTTTTAAAATTTTAAAATTGTCAAAACCATTTAAAAAGAAATTACCTTATCAATAAGTAGATCTAATGGTATATATCTTGGGGGGTATTCGTCTTTGTATAATATTTTCATTTGTTTGTGTATGATTTTAAAATTGTCAAAACCATTTAAAAAGAAATTAAGTTATCAATAATTAGATGTAATATTATATATATATATATATATATATATATATATATATATATATATATATATATATATATATATATATATATATATATATATGTGTATATATATATATATATATATATTGAATGCAATGCAATTGTGTGTGATTCTGTCTAGAACTGTCAAGATCATACCACTGGGCCACATTGTGAACAATGTTTGGCTGGTTACTATGGTGACCCAACCATTGAAGGATGCCAGATATGCAGTTGTCCTCTCCCAATTCTCTCCAACAAGTGAGTTGAGACAATACTAACTTGTTACTCAAATGTGAATGGGCTTGTAGTTTTCTTCTTTCCATTCATAAATATTTTTTCTTGTTTTCCATCATTACTCGAGCAAAATGTGTTTTAAAATGATGGTTAAAACTTTTTTTCCACCCAGCTTTGCAACCAGTTGTGTGGTCAATGACTATGATGCCACTACAGTATGTTCCTGCCTGCCTGGCTATGATGGACAGACTTGTGAAAGGTTAGAGGTCAAGCTACTATTTTAAATGTTTACCTAAAGGCTTGCTATCCAGTATTAGCCATAAATCTATAGGATAAAAAGTTTTTGCTATGATGAATTTTGACATAATTTGTTTCACGATAAACCATTTAATATTAATTATGATGGGTTGATTTATTTTTTAAAAAAAAACACTTTTATTTTCTTTTTTAAAGCAATTTTCCCATCATTTATGGTTAAAGTAGAAATTTTATTTGTTATTATTTATATCTAGACTATAAGTGTTACATCAATTTATGGCACTATTTTGTTCACCATTAGGTGTGCCTCTGGTTACTATGGCGACCCATACCAACCAGGCAGCAACTGCCAACCGTGCCGGTGCAGTGGCAACATTGACGTGAAGAACCCTGACAGCTGCGACAGGTTGACTGGTCAGTGTCTGCTGTGTCAGAACAACACGGCTGGCGAGACGTGCAATTACTGCAGGGACTGGTACTTTGGGGATGCTGTCTACCGCAAAGATTGTCAAGGTAAATCACATATATTTTTACTATCAAGGTAAAATCACAAGTATTTTTACTATCAAGGTAAAATCACATGTATTTTTACTATCAAGGTAAAATCACATGTAGTTTTACTATCAAGGTAAATCCCATGTATTTTTACTATCAAGGTAAAATCACATGTATTTTTACTTTCAAGGTAAAATCACATGGTTTTTTACTGTCTTAAATCACATGTATTTTTACTATCAAAGTAAAATCACATACATTTTTATTGTGAAGGTAAAATCACATGTATTTTTACTGTTAAAGTAAAAACCCATTTTTTTTACTGTCAAGGTAAAATCTAATGTAAAAAGTTGTTAGTGTTGAGGAATAATCCCGTATTTTTTTTTTTACTCTTGAGTAAAAATCTAATGTCGATCCACTCTTTCCTGACAGGGTAAAATATATTTTTACTCAACAAATACATTCTCTCAAATTCCTTAAATTTAGACCTTTCTTAAATTACTATAATGTATTCGCCTCCCAATTGCAGACCAAAAAAAAATTTGTTTAGATCACTTGCTGTTAACATGGATTCTATAATTCATGTGAGATTTTAAAAAAAATGTTCCTACTTTATTTGGCATGTCGTTATTTGTTAATCCATGCAAGCTAAGTCGTATGAAAGTTGTTAATTAAGGTGTTAATTAAGGTGTCATGTAATGAGGGGTCAATTTGCTCATCCTTCAGCTTGTGCTTGTGACACCTGTGGAACAGATAAATGCGACAGGGACAGTGGTGCCTGTCTGTGTAAGGACAACGTTGAGGGGGCTCGATGTGAAAAGTGTGCTGTAAGTTAAGTCCTCTGTCACGTTCTTATAAAAAACACTTTGTCTTTTGCATAAAGAAGTGAAACAGTATTTATGGTTAAACAAGCTCAGACCACTATAATCATTACACAGACTGAGGTTAAAAAAATTCTTTAAAAGCTATTTCTGATAATTCATCTTGTTTTACTTTGTTACTATAATTGAAAGGCTAAACAGACTCTAAACTAGTGTTTTCTCTATTAACTCCTGACCTTGACTTACTTACCTATGAAATCATCCTTTTATTAAGCTAACCTTGACTTACTTATCTATGACATCATCTATTTGCCGTGTAGGAGAACACATGGGGCTATGACTACTGTACAGGCTGCAAACCTTGTGAGTGTGGAGTTGGCTCAGTCACTGGCCAGTGTAACTTACAAACTGGCGTGTGCTCTTGTTTACCTGGCGTTGAAGGAGAAAAATGTGATAAATGTAAACCTTACCACTGGAATTATGGGATAAACGGCTGTCAAGGTAAGGTTTTTTAAAAATTCATATTAAATCATATTCTGAAAATAAAGTTTGTTTAATTGTTATGAATTATAATTTTTCTTTTAATTACTTTTAATTTTGTTGTTTAGCTTGTGACTGTCTGAGTAATGGGACAGTTGGATGTGATGCTGAAACTGGCAAATGTCAGTGTCTGCCAGGTGTGACTGGGGATCAGTGTGACAGGTGCCAGCCCAGATGGGTGCTTGTCCCCAACAGGGGGTGTCAAGGTATAACTTTGGTATAACAGTCAGTCAAGGGGTGTCAAGGTATAGTTTTGGTATTATAGTCAGGTGTCAATGTATAACTTTGGTCTTACAGTCAGGGGTGTCAAGGTATAACTTTGGTATAACAGTCAGTCATGGGGTGTCAAGGTATAACTTTGGTCTTACAGTCAGGGGGTGTCAAGGTATAAATTTGTATTATAGTCAAGGGGTGTCAAGGTATAGTTTTGGTATTATAGTCGGGTGTCAAGGTATAACTTTGGTATATCAGTCAGTCAGTGAAACAACTGAGCTTCATGAAGGCCACTATTTTCATATATTATATATATTATGCTTCCTACAGAGTGTGACTACTGTGTTCATTTACTAATGGATGACTTGGACGTCATGGCCAAAAATATGACAATCATCAGCCGTGAGTTAGGGGAGGTCTCTGTTGGCGCTGGTGCCTACAGTCAACTGTCACACTATAACAAAATAGTTGCAGATTATAGAGTGAGTAGTTCCAGAGTTTTGTTTTGTTTCTTGGAGGTTTCCATTCAGTTTCTTCCAGGCATCTCTTCGGGGGACGTCCCCCCAAAAAATTTTTACCGCCCCCCCCCCCCCCCCCCCCGAACGAAATGAAATTTATATAATTTATATAGTAAATATATACTTTTAACAGTGTCCCCCCCCCCCCCCCGAAGAAAGTCTACCACCCCCCCGAAAATTTCAAGTGCCCCCCCAGAGAAAAAAGTCTGGAAGAAACACTGTTTCCATTTATGCTTGATGTCCACGTTTATGTCTATAGAAAGTTTGCATACTACAATGCAGATTTTAGAGTGGAAATCTCCAGATTTTAGTTCTCTTCACTAAAACTGTTCTTTTCCTATGGTTTGTGTGTAATAATGTTGTAATGTCTATACAGCCTGTTTTTTTTTACTTTTTTGTAGAAAACAATATTTAATTTTAAAAAACTATTATTTTGACCAACATTTTACCAGACATTTTGTACAGAACGTCGTTATTTTTAATTACACATATTATTTTTTGTTTTGTTTATAAAGCATGAAGTGTTTCTATTTTTAGCCTCAGGTAGATAACATGTCCTATCTGACACCTGAGAGCATCAAAGAGCAGGTCAATGACCTTAATATCAGCGCTGCAATAGCCCTGATCAACGTCAAGACATTCCAAGGCACGGTAAGGCCAAATACATGTGGTCACCACCTTAGTTGACGATGTAGCTGTCCTCAGACACTTGTCACATTGTCACACAGATTGATCACTAGTTGTCATACTGACAAAATGTCACACAGATTGAACACTAGTTGTCACACTGACAAAATGTCACACAGATTGAACACTAGTTGTCACATTTACAAAATGTCACTCAGATTGAACACTAGTTGTCACATTTACAAAATGTCACACAGATTGAACACTAGTTGTCATACTGAGAAAATGTCACACAGATTGAACACTAGTTGTCACATTTACAAAATGTCACACAGATTGAACACTAGTTGTCACATTTACAAAATGTCACACAGATTGAACACTAGTTGTCACATTTACAAAATGTCACTCAGATTGAACACTAGTTGTCACATTTACAAAATGTCACTCAGATTGAACACTAGTTGTCACAATGCCAGCAATGTCACACATATCTAATTCTAGTCCCAACTATGTCAAGATGCAAGCTGCCTGTATACAACAATATATCGTCTCTACTCTGGGTGGCATTTATTCCTATACATTATTTTAGGAGTTAGCTGAATAAAGAGCGATACAATTGAAATTTTCATAAAAAATAATATATTACAAATAAACTGGAATTTACAATCAAAGAAAATGTTAACACAGCAAAAGTTATTCACTTAAAATTGATGTATTTATTATAACAAAACAATAAATATGCATTTTAAATTGATGTATTTATTATAAAAAAGCAATAAATATGCATTTTAAATTGATGTAGTTAAGTTGCAATATTTTTTTTTAAATCCAACGTGCTTAATAAAAACAATTTTTTTTAAAAGGCTGATGTTAATATGTATGAAGCTAAGGAAATTCCTGGATCCATCCAAAATCTGACAAAAAGTTCAGCTAATTCTGAAGCGAGTTCTAAAGAGTTCCAGAAATATGCTAAGGGTAGGTTTGTCATTCTTGTTTGGTCATGTTTTTTTTTTCATTTTGTGCTATTGTTATTTACAGCTTATCACTGTCATCAAAGTTAGATTTCTTTAGCTACATATTGATTGTTTAAATTCATGTGTAAAAAGTAGACATTTTGTATGAAAATATTTTGTCCTTTTTTAACAGAAACTGTGGAGTTCATACAAAATGTGGGTACCACCATGATGGAAACTTCTACAAATCGCAACAATCAAAAAGTTTTGGAAGATTCTGAAAGGATCGTTACAGAAATTAGCGGACTTGACTTTGATGCCCAAAATAAGTCCTCCTATCTAGAAGCTGAAGCAGCCATGAATGGTAACATTTTCAAAGATTTAAATTTAAACTCAACTTTAAAGAAATAAACTAGGATTTTTAAAATTCAAGCTTATTTGTAAACAAATTATTTACCCTTTTAACCTGATTTTAAAGGAAACTAACATTTATTAATTAAAAACACATTAGTTTTTTATTTAATTTTTAAAAATATCCTAATAACATAGTAGGCAATGAAGACGTAATAAAATCTATTTTTAAACTTTTTATTCATTAGCTTCAGAAGATGTGAAAAAGCTGAAAGCTGAGGCTATGATGAATGACAATAAAACATCTGAGTACCTCACTACCATTAATGACATCAGTTCTAGACTTCGTGATCTGCTCAACAATAGTCAGTATTCATCCCAGGAAGCTGAAAATGCCAAGAACACAATCAAGCGTCTAAAAGCTGTGCATTTGAACAAACTTAAGGTGAATATTATTTTTAAACTAAAAAAAAATCTTTTATTCATTTTCAGGTATTTTTAAAGAACTTTTTTATTGAATTTATTATTCTAAATATAAGATAATGAACTAGTGTAAAGATGCAAATAAAAAAAGAAAACCATATAGCTTAATTTAGTGATAATGTGGCAGATAAATAATTCAATTATCAATTTTTTTTCATTTTGAAAACTGTTTAAAAATGTATAATTGATCATTCAGTAGTGGGCCTATATGCTATATAGTTACAAACAAATTGTATCTATTCATCCATCAATGTGTTAGCTGATAAAAGGATAAACTTAAGAATTTTAAAACTGAATCACCAACAAGTTGTATGTATCTACAGCAACAAGAAACTGCATTTGACCAACTGACTCAAGAGAGGGTGGTCAGCATCAAGGAAGCTGATGAACTGCTCACTGAGGCCAACATGAAGCTGGATGGGGCTGAAAAGTTTGTTGAGGTTTGAGCATTTTTTTATTATTAGATCAACAGTTCTTGGCTGATTTTATACTGCTATTTATTTTGTTAGTTAAAACTTGGCTCTTGGTCAATAAAATGTCTTTTAGGCCACAACATTATAGTTGTATATTTAATATGAATATAACAACTTATGAGGCCAAGTGATTCATATTTCATTTGAATCACAATGTGAATAAAATGAATAACTACATTAATTGTGCATGATTTTGTGCTAATTGACAACCTGCTGTTGAAATGACCCACCCTTTCAATTCTGATTTGATGTGACCAGGGAATAAATAATGAGACAGCCAACTTAAATGGGAACTTACCAAACTTAAATGGATCAGTTGAGGCCCTTGGGGACTCTCTCATGCCCTCATCAGAAAAAGTCAACAAAAGTTTAGTGCACTTACAGATGCTGAAACAGCAAGCTGAAACATTTCAAATGTAAGTTTTTAACTAGATAGATTATAAAACATCCTGCTTAATGTGCATCCTTGACTAACTAAATTTTTATTAACAAACCATATGATAAATTATTTTATACAAAGTAACATGGCTACTCATGTGTTAGATTTATTAATGCTGTGTATTCTTAATTTACTACAACATAAGTGATTGTATATTCTAATCTATTAAGAATATTCTTTTTAACGCATGATTCTTTTTTTAAAAGTCTTAAGTTTTAAAATGTTTGAGTATGGCAACAGATTTTCCTTGTGTTTTTCAGAGTTGAGTATGACAGCAAAAATACTGAAAATGCTCTAGAGGCTGTCAAAGCTTATAAGACTATAATAAACAACATTGAGGAGGCTCAGATGAAAGCAAACTCAGCAGTAGTGGACTCTCCTTTATTAACAGTTAGTGTCTTTTCTATTTTGATACTAGTGCCTAAATTTAGACAGATGAGTATCCTACATTATTTTTTTATTTGTCACCATTTAAAGAATAGTATCAGAAGTAAAACACATTATTTAGTTCATCAAAACATGAAAATAAGAGTCAAATAACCATCAAACTGTTTGGTCAATGTATTTGAATTTTTTTAGATAAATGAATTTGACGTGACACCCACCCTTGAGAAAAGTGAAATGCTGGCCAATGAATCAGAAGAACAAACTGCACAAAACAGAGGTTATATTTGGTTTTCAGTAATTCAACTATACACTTCTGGCATGAAAGTTCAATGATTACATTTCCTTTTATCTGTGAAGTACCTTTAATCTAATCCTGTTTCTGTTATTTTATGAGTAACAGCACCAACTGCTATCAAACTCCCAATCTCTTTGTTCATTTGTTTTTTACTCTTAATAAAAATCTGTTTTAAAATTCTGGTGATACAGATTTGAATGAAACGTTGAAGTCTGCTATCAACTCTGTGAATATGGCTGAGAAAAAAAATGCAGATGTTGACAAACTTCTGAAAGTTGTGCTGGGAGAATTAGAAGATATTCAAAGTAAGTCAATTATTGCTTTTGAACACACTGCTGTGGTTTTGAAGTTCTTTATGTAAATACTTATTACAATTTATTTTAAAATTATTATTTTAATTGAAAGTGTATTATAATTTATAGTAATATAAAATACAGATAATATAGTTTAAAAAAATAATTGTTAAAAATATAATTTAGACAGTATTTTTTTATTTGGGGAAATGACAGAAATAAGCAGTGGCAATGAATCTGCTGCAACTATGCAAATAGTCTCAGATGTCGCTGCCAAAGTGGATGCCATTGAGAAACTGAGTGAGCAAGTAAATGAAGACAAGTTGAGCAACCAGCTAAAGAAAGACTTTATCCTGCAAAACAGACCTAAGATCCTTGGCGACATGGCTCAAATAGAACAGAACAGTATGTGAACATTTTCTTTGTTCTCTTTCAATGTCAGCTGTTGTATCTTTGATGATGATTTTAAAGCAGTTAAATTATTAGACAAACATTTTGTACATTTTAAAAATAAAATTTTTTTTTTTCTTATTTGAAATTCAGAAACAATACTAAATAATTATAACATTTTAACCAGTAAATTTAGCCAATGAAAGTATTCCTGAAGTACAGTCACTGCTGAATAATTTGACCCAGAGATCTGCATCACTTTCTAAAGAAAGCAGCGACCTGACTTTAAGTGTGGAACTGTTGAGGAGACGGATAGAGGAAGCCAGAGATGAAGCCAAGCGAGTAGGTTTCTCTAAGCTCAACATTCTAATCACATCCAACTTTCTAAATTGAAGCTCATTTGTTGAAAAACAGATATCATGTTTAATATTGTTTTTTTAATTGTGTAGATTAAAGTTGGGCTTTCCTTTTTGGGCAACACAACTGTCACCCTGCGCAGCCCACCAGAGCTGGAAAACACAGCTTCTAAAACCAAGATCTCCTTCACCATCAAAACAAACAGTACTGATGCCTTGTTAGTGTACATTGGTCCAAACACACTTTCTCAACCAGTAAGTCATTGTTAATAACTCATTACAATTCTGATAAAAACAAAATATATTGGGTGCTATGTTTAAATTATTTTACATAAGTAATCTTTCTTTTTCAAATATTTTCATTTCAATTTATTTACATGAATAAATAAAATGATCGTTTCATTTATTGAATCGTTTAATTCAATTTCCTTTAAATTTGCAATTATTTTTAAATTTTTAAACAAATAAACATTTCATAAAATTATATTTTGAAATGTTTAACCAATACAGACAATGCATTTTAGACATGGCAAATCTTTTTCAATTTTAATTTTTTTTCCAAGGCTCAACCCAGACAACAGAGGTCAGTTCAAGGAAAGATGGACCCCGACTTTATGGCCCTGGAGCTGAAAGAGGGCCGCATTTTGTTCACCTACAACTTGGGCTCTGGATCAGCCAGGATTCACAGTGACATACAAGTGAACAATGCAGAAGTCTACAAAGTTATAGCTGAAAGGTAATTAATATAATACATAATTATGCATATATTTCATCTATGTTTAGTGTACATTTCTGTTTAAATGCTTTTTTCTACCACAGTTAATTTGATTGTAAAAATGCATTCCTGTTACATGTACAACATTAAATTATTATTGCGATTTTAAAATAACAAAAAACTGCACAATTTTCCATTATTAAAGTAAGAACTGTGGACACAAAACAAAATGTACACAATGTTGCAGTACAAATATAAACTTTAGATATATATTCTAAAGTGTAATTTTATGAGTTTTTAATTTATTTTCTCTATGTAACTGAAAAATTGGATGGTTTTCAATTAGTTCTTCAATTTTTTTCTTTTACATTATGCCATTAATTGTTTTCAGTAGAGTTATTTCATGTAAGTTTAAACATATTCATATTTTAGATCTTATAGTTACATGTTTACTTACTTTAAACCTACAGGATTGGAAAATCTGGCAACTTAACCGTCTTCTCCAACAAAACAAAAGAAGTTGTTGTAACTAAAGGCTCTTCTCAAGGCCCATATGTTGTTCTGGAACTGGATCCAGCTAAAACTCATTTCATGCTTGGTGGAGTCTCCAGTATGGTTCAGGTACAAGAAGACATTTTCTAATCACCTGGGGTTGGGACAGTTTTATTCCCTTCTTGCCTAGAGAGGGGTAAATACATTTTGAAGAAAATATTTCTCTAGTACCTAAAGTTGGTACAGTTTTATATAATGTATTCCTTACTTGCCTAGAGAGGGGTAAATACATTTTGAAGAAAATATTTCTCTAGTACCTAAAGTTGGTACAGTTTTATATAATGTATTCCTTACTTGCCTAGAGAGGGGTAAATACATTTTGAAGAAAATATTTCTCTAGTACCTAAAGTTGGTACAGTTTTATATAATGTATTCCTTACTTGCCTAGAGAGGGGTAAATACATTTTGAAGAAAATATTTCTCTAGTACCTAAAGTTAGGACAGTTTCACAAAATATATTTCTTTATTACATAATTACATACATATAGAGGAGTCTAGGTAGAAATGATTAAATCAACACATTTTTAATAATATCTTCAAATGGCACTTTATTCTATTGAAAGCGCTTTGATTCATTTGTTTTTTATGAAGTAAAAATCAAAACTGACTTTAAATAACCAAAGTTGAAGCACAGTTTCATAATACACAACTCCACTGTTTCAATACAAGTTACAATAATATTTCTTTAGATTCCACAAGAACTGACAACACGCTTCTTCTTTGGTGAAATACAACACCTTATGTTTGAAGAAAAACATTTAGGGTTATGGAACTTTGCAGCTGGAGAAAATAACTACCATGGAGTTAAACAAGAGTAAGCTGCTGTAACATCTATTTTATCCAATCTAGAAAAGCCAACAAACTTTTACTAACCCATTTCTTTAGCTATTGCAATAGAATTAGGAATAGTTTTTATATATTAATTTGATAAGCATACATTTAGATATTTACAGGAGCCAATACTTATACAATAGGTATGCCTACATAATGACTAAAAATAATTGAATATATCCTTACACTACCACTTGAAAATCGTGCAGTTAATGAAATCCAATTTCCACCAGATTTCTTAACAATATCTGTTAAAACTAGAATACCATTTAAGCCACAACACAATAATTTAATTTTGTGATTTTGTGGGCTTAAATTTCAAATCAATTTGTTTTCTTGAAATAATAATGATTTTATAGTTATAGACTTAAAATAAAACAATTTTTTTAAATTTTGCTTTCCAGGATTGTGATTTTACCTGATTATAAGCTGCAAGGTGTTGCTTTTGATGGCCAGGGTTATGCTGTGTTTGAGAATAAACATAATACTGCAAACCGCACAAGAGCAACGTTTACCATTAAGACATTTGCTGAAGATGGCCTGATACTTTATATGGGTGGAGTTAGAGATTTCTTGTCATTAGAAATGCGCAAAGGAAAATTTTTCTTTCAATTTGACCTGGGTGGAGGTGTGTACACACTAGAAACACAGAATACTTACAACAATGGGAGATGGCATGTCATCTACATTGACAGGAGCTTGAAGACAGCTGTTGTCAATATTAATAACAAGGAAGAAGGTAGCCTAGTTTTATTTAAATACCTTACAATAAAGGCAAAAAAATGTTGTTAGGTTAAGTTTGGTAGTCTTGTTTTATTTACTTAAAGTGCTTCACAACAAAGGCAAAAAATTTAGTTTAAGTTATTGTCAGTTCTTTAGCTATTATAGCAAGTTAAAAATTTAATTCTTTCAAGGTTAAACAATAAACTTTTTTTCTGAAATATCTTTAAAATAGGCAAGTGATTGGATATTGCAGATTTATTAATAGAGATTATCTTTGCCTTTTGCTTACAGATTTGAAAATATCTGCTGAAGGCAATTTGCAGACTTTAGAAACTGGACGATTAGCCTTCATCGGTGGACTGGACTTCTTCAATATGACTCAGTAAGTGTAAGGCTAGCTACTGTGGGGTGATGTTAAACCTACAAGTTTAGATAATTTGAAAAGGCTATTTTTGCAAAACCTAAAAAAAACTTTTAGATGTTGTGGTTCATAGTGCAGTTGTAAGAAGAGTCCATTTGTTTCTGTGACCTCAGCATATGAAATGATAGCGTGGTCAGTTCTATGCAAAGCCACCTATAAATTCCTAACAAAAGTCAGGTACCCACCAGAGCTATGTGGATTTAGTGACTTTAAACTTGAGTCCAGGATCTGATCTCCAGTCTTTTGGGCTAATCATACACTCAATTCCCTACCACCCAATGCCATTTATTTATTTAGTTATCATTGATTGCATGGTCATAATTACTCATTTAGTCATGAAAGTAAGTAATTTAAAAAAAAATATTTTAAAATACCATTTCAAGGAGGTACCATTTTTGGAAATATTATTCATGTTCTAAGAACATATATTGAGGGTTAATAGATTAGCAAGGGTGAGCTCTTAAAGAAAAATATTTTTCTCTTTAGGACCTTACCACAAAAATTCCCAGAAATTTCAAATGGCTCCAGGGCCTGTTTTATGTTTACAATTAGATCACCACTGGATATTGATACAATGTATTTTTTCTTTCAATGTTTCAGTCCAGTGACTAAAACAGGTTTTAAAGGTTGCATGAAAGACATCACACTGGGCAACATCCCAGAGAACCCACTGAAGAGTGGCAGATCAAAGGGTGTACAAGAAGGGTGCATAGTAGGTCACTTTTGTCTCTTTAAAAAAAAAGCAGCTGAAAATACTTTGCTTTCTGTTAAAAACATTTTAAAATTAGAAAGGTTGATTGCATTGGAAGTATTCTTAAATGATAATAAGATGTAGCAATATTTTTAATTGTTATACTGTTAACATTTCAAAGTAGTATTAAGTTTTTGAAGGTTTTTAAAATCAAATCTCAAGTTTTCAACCACTAAAATGAATGTTGTTTTATGTATCTAGCTTGACAAGAATAGTGCCTCCTTCATCAGTAGCAGGAGTAGCTACGTGGCATTTGATGAGGTCAGTGTGGGCGAGACATTTGAGCTGACCTTCAAGATGAAAACCACAGAACCAGAGGCTCTGCTCGTGTATGTCTCTGACAAGACCCAGGTACCAGTTTTTCAATGACTTGCCACTTATATATTTTTACTCAATATGTAACAAAGCTTGATTGCTAACATTATACCTATCTGTATTAGGTTTAAGTTAAATTAGTATTTCGGTTGGAGAGGTAATATACAAAAGGTTATTTGACCAGGGCATGGTAATGTTTATTTCCTGCATTGCTAACAGTCACATAAAAATATCTTTTAATAAGAAACAAACCATCTAAACCTAATAACAATAAAATTTGATACAAGTAATGTGCTGTTATTACATTATTTTTAGATTTAGCACCAGATTAATTAAGAATAATAATCCAATTAGATTGGTAGTCTAACTTGTTGGTAAAAAAAAATTACTTTACTCGTCAGACCAACACCTTGGCAGTTTCTGTGTTTAACGGTATGATTGTGGTTACCCAAGAACTGGGTGCTGTGCCAGTAAGACTAAACAGTAAATCTTCCTCCTACAATGATGGTAGCTGGCACTATATACAGATTATAAAGGAAAGAGAAAGGTATCTATCCAATTGCATAAATAAAATATATAAAGCATGCATTTTAGCAACAAAACCTATAGTTTTCCCTTTCAATAAAACTGTTATCTTGTAATGAATTCTAAGCAACTTTGGTTCATAACTCTCAAAAAAATGTTTGTCTTTTAGACTGACGCTGACTGTTGATGATAGAGAAATTATTCAAGATTCAAGCGACTCAGTAGAACTTATAACAAACACCAAGGTGTATTTTGGTGGAGTAGCCAGTGACTACACCATAACCTCAACAGTAGTCCCAACCAAACTCAGTTTAACTGGCTGCATAGGGGACATAACTATCAATAAAATGTAAGTACTTGTGTGAGAAATGAAATCTGCACTTATATTTTTATTTTCTTTAAATGAAATAATGAAATATAACCATAAATAAAAGCATTTACTATTCATATAATCTTAATTCAGGCCTTTTCAGTTACAAATTAGTATAAATAGTATCAAGTTTTAGCATTATTTGTGTACAGTCGCTTTTAAATATAATTACACCTACGTTACTCTGAAAAGAGTTTATGCTTGCCAGTTTATAGTTTAAAGTTTTGTACAGTTTTACTACCTTTTTCAACACAACATATAGCAAACCACACTTTTATTTAGGGTTATATAGAGTGAAGTGTATTATTATAATAATTATATCATTTTTCTTTATATAAAAAGCAATGTATGTCTGTCTGTATGTTTTTATGCATTACTACACCTTTCATCCAATCGCTATGAAACTTTGGGAAGTTATTGAGGATACTCCTCCGTATTTGTGGGGAAAAAAAATTTCAAATTTGCAGGGGTGGCATCCCGGTAGGGTGCAATTTTCCATGAGCGCTATGGTGCCAATGTTATTTTAAAACTGTGTGATAGACTATGGATAAAATGGAGTGTTATAGTCATTCACTAAATAGAATCAAGCGTGTTCGCCGGTATTCCAGAAGTGTGCTATTTGGCGCACTGGGTTATCCTGTGAGCACTATGTCGCTTAGATAAGTTTTATGTGGTGCCCTGCAGTAGTGTAATCAGGGGATCCCAAGAGCACGCCTCTACTTCCCTGACACCTGGGCAGTCACCGAGGTGTATTCTACCTTATTACAGTGAGTGATTAATGTGCACTCAAGGCTCTCACACGGTAGTGTAGGTAAACTCATGCTCCAATAACTATGATCCAGTCGCAGGCATTGTTTACATTTAAATAAATCAGTTTTAAAAAACAAGGTCACATGTCTAAGAATATAGGATTAGTAAATCACTGATAAAACCCTTTTTATATATTTCGTCAGACTTTCTGTATATATGAACAATTCTGAAAATAAAAGCTTATATTTTACCATTAAATTTTGTGGTTTTCCTCAAATCCATATGAAATTTAGTAAAAACATATTTGAATAATTTCTTATTAGCATGCAAAATCAATGAATTTTAAAAATTGTTTCACTTCTTCGCTTTTGTAGGTATTATGGTTTTGAAAATGCTGAGTACAATGGCATAACCCTTGATTGTCCAACAGAAAAAATTGGTACGTTGTCTGTTCTCTTAACTTTTTGCAAGTTTTTTACTGTTAAATAATCTATAAAAACACAATGAATGGAAACTAATATCATGTCTTCATTATTCAAACACTTCTAATATTTCTAATACTGCAGATGAGACCAAGATAGAAAGTGACGTACCTGTGGTATGTAAACTACCTCAGGTGGGGAGTACAGAAGATGAGAAAGGGGAGTTCATTGGCAAATGCTTTGGAACAGAAAGTCGACAGGAATTTGGGAAATATAAATCACATCCTAGGTAAGGAAAAAGATTTATAAATGATTTGCAAAAAGTCAATTACTTCTTAAAACCATTGTTACTACAACTCAATTTTTAGTTTTAATTGGCTATGTAAATAATCACTTATTTCTCCAACTCATTGTAGCTTTATGTTAAACTAGAATTTTTCTTTTTGTAAACCATTTAAAAAAAAATCAATTCCAGCCTTTCAACAATAGAAGTGACCTTTAAAACAGAGGCAGAAAATGGCTTGATTTTGTATAGTGCTGATCAGAAGCATGTTGATTTTCTGGCCATATACATTGCTAATGGATCTGTGTATTTTGGATTTAATTGTGGTTCTGGTACAGCCAAGGTCAAATCTCCTATACAATACAATGATGCTCAATGGCACAAGGTTAGTTATAACTTAGACTCATTAAAAATAATTTGAGTTATAACGTCATATTTCAGTAGTGGATGTCTGCATCAGAAGGGAACATCTGCGACAAGAGGTGGTTCACTTTATTTAAAAATTATTTTTTTTTAAACATGTGAGGTGGTTCACTTTTATTTAAAATTAGATTTTTTTAAACATGTGAGGTGGTTCACTTTTGTTTAAAATTAGATTTTTTTAAACATGTGAGATGGTGAACTTTGTGATGTCAGTGGAGCATGTGACATTTTAATTAAAGTGGTGGGGGGGGATTATTTAACTTTGTGTGATGTTGATTATGTCTGAAAATATGTTTTATAAAGAGGAGTGTAATGTTTCTAACATGCTTTTGTCATTTTTAGGTGAATCCGCTACTAATATAAAAGCTGGGCTTTCTAATAACATTACCAATTCTTTACTAGGTAGTAGCAGAGAGAAACCGGAATATTGGGACTCTGTTTATAGACGGCAACCAGGTTGCAAGTGGCAGAAGTGGGGGCAAAGCTCTTTCACTAAATACAATAGAACCCAACTACATTGGAGGTCTACCCCAGGAAATAAGAAATAAAACTTTTAAAAACATTGGGGTAATTTTTTAAAAATATTTCTAAATGACAACACAATTCTAATATAATCATAATTAAGAAATTAAAATAACAAGAAAAGTTTTTGATTAGTTTTTTCTTTGTTTTAAAGCTAAGGACAAATACAAAAGTATCAAATTTAATTTTTTTTTCTGCTGTACTCACTTTGTGAAGTTAACTGTTTTATATGTATTGTTTTCTCTGCTGGAAGAATGTTTTGTTGTTTTATTTTTAAATCATTATAATTATTTTTCTTTGAGCAAATAATAAGAACATGCGTATGGTTTCAGGACTACCATGGGTTTGATGGTTGCATGACCAACATATCCTTGTACAAAGGTTTTGCAGAAAAACCAAAAGTAGAATTTAATGTCACAGAAAGCTACAGCAGTGAAGAATTAGGCACTTACTTTGGCTCAAGTGGGGGCCGGGTTACTCTAAGTAAGTTTTGGACTGCTTTTCTTGCCAGTGTGGCTTACATAATGGGCTTTTCTTGTTAATAGTATGGCTTAAATTATGGGCTTTTTCTTGTTGGCAGTGGGGCTTTCATTATGGGCTTTTCTTGTTGGTAGTGTGGCTTACATTACAGACTTAAATTAAAAATCTAGATGTTATTGCTTATCTTTAAGAAAAGATTCAACCCAATTTTAATTGATTATGATTCCTATGATCCAAAACAAACAGACCTAAACTAGATCTATAATTTTCTTGTCTGGTTGCTTGTTTTTGGGAAATATTTTTAAAAATTCTATAAATTAACATAAGGGAATTCACCAGGTTTTGATTTTTTAAAACCACACTGGTTATACAATACTCTCTCATCTGTGGTTGTTACATAATAGATGTCCAGCTTACTCTCATCTGTGGTGGCATTTTTCTGTCATCAACAACAACAAACATTGTAATGTTGTATAAACCAATGTAAAAAATTGGTTTTACTTTGATTCTAGTTGACAAGTTCAAGGTTGGGAGGGACTTGAACATCTCCATGGAGATCAAACCCAGGTCAGCTAATGGAGTTCTGTTGGCAGTCCATTCAAATACAAGTGACTATCTTATTCTCCAGTTGGTTGCAGGAGAGGTAAGTGCTCTATCAATCTCCATCACTACTTTTGGTTTCTATTTGCACAATTATTTGTTTACCATCACTACTGCTAGTTTGATTTACACAATGTCATTTATCCTTTTATTTGGCACTAGAATTCTATTTGGTTAGCAACTGAACAATTTAGTTTTTCAAATTAACAGGTTTTTATTTCACAATGAACTGACAGTAATTTTTTTCTAATTTGTGGAGTCATGTTTCTAAATTCCTCCTCCCACAGTTGATTTTCACAGTTGATAATGGGGCTGGGGCAATATCAACCAGCTACAGGCCTCAAACATCTGACTATCTCTGTGATGGGGAATGGCATAAAATCCAAGGTGAGACAGTATTACCACTTCAACAAATACATACTCAAGAATTACAATATTGCAGTACATGTCGACTGTATAGCAGACAAACAGGTTATGGGAACCTAGGGTGATGATTTGTTGATTATGTTTGTTGTAACTATACCTTGCAAACTGTTTTAAGATTAAATCTAATTTAAAATACTAATCTTTTCTGGTTTAATAAATATAAAATTACCTCTGTGCCCACTGATGTTATTGAATAAATAAATTTGAATTTGAATAAATTTGAAATTTGCTCAATTTTCTTGAAAAACAATAGTTAAATATCAAATAATCTGTGATTTTATTTTTTCCAGCCTACAAAGATAGACATATAATCCGCCTGTCTGTAGATGGCGTCAGACCAACTCAGGTTCAAAGTTCGCGCCCTGATTCATCCTCTGTAGATACATTTGATCCTCTTTACATTGGTGGTGTACCTGGTACGTTTTTTTAGTCACACTCATTAAAACAATTAGTTCTCCCTCTTTGCAAATAACAAAAAGTGCACTGAAATAACCAGTTTAAAAATTTTAAAGTTTATTTCTTAAATTATATGGCTAGGTTTCTTCAAATCTAATTTATCTTTATGTCTTCATCAATTGTTTTACCATAGCTTTGTAAAGTGAAGTACCCTTTAAAATCTGATGGTCTGTACAGCAAATGAAGTGGAGTTTATCTGTTTTTTTTTGCCCTCTATATGTAAAGGGAGAATGTATTCCCTCTCTAGAGGCAGGTACCCACCAATACTGGGTGCCCTAATAGACCTCATATAGACTTAATACAGGGAAACAAATGAAACATCTATGTTAGCTCTCTTCTTTTTTACTGTTACACTTTATAACCATTTATACAAAGTCTAGTTCAAACCCATTTTTTTTAACAAAATCTTTTCATCCAATTTTGTTTTAAAATTTACTTTTAGATGGGAAAGCCAAGGGAATTATTACAACAACACATTACATAGGATGCATCAGGTTACTTGCCCTGAATGAGAGGGTTCAGAGCATCAAGAGAGGCAGCGCAGTGGGTGATGTAAGGCTTGGAGCCTGCCCCAAGAGATAATTTCAGTGCATTGATCATAGGGCATTTTTTATACTAACAGCATAATTACATTCTATTTTTAACAGAACAATGCTTGTGCAGCAATGACACCAAACTTTGAAATGATGAAAAATAAAATATGTGCATTATATTTTAAAACTTTATCTGATTATACTTTCATTTGAACACCATCAGTATTAAAATAATTGTGTTGTATAAGTTATATATATATATATCTAAGTAATTTTAAATTTAAAAAGTTAAGTGTTACTATAAATATATGCAACAAAAAAAATGTCAGCAATATTTTTCAAATATATATGCCCAAGAAAAATTTTGTATCAATATTTTAAAACTTCTAGTCACCTAAGCATAACTACCTCCAATACAAGTGTTCTTGAGGAAAGCATAATAATTTTTACATTTAGAAATCCTTTACTCCCATAATGATATGGTTTTATTTAATGTTTCTGTTATTTCTTTTTTATACGCTCTAAGTGCCTTTGTATTTCTATCTTAATATTTCTAAATACCTACAAACTGTTCTGTTTTTTGGCATGACCATGTCCAACTTAAATTTTAAATAATGACTTAAAAGTACTCAGTTCACTAAAGCTTGTTTGTTTGAGAAAGTATCTAGTCACCAAAAAAACAATCAATATGATAACCTACAATATGTTTTTCAATTTTCTAATAAAAGCAATTGTTTACATCTCAACTAAATATATTTTTAAAAGAAATTTTCTTTTAACTTCCTGGTTTTCATAATTGAATTTTTAAATCTGCCAATTATAAGATCATTTACTACATTGTAATAGAAATAAAAAGTGTAAATCAATAATTAAATTTCTTCACCAGCTTTTTCATGTAACTTTTACAACCTGGGTTAACTTTTTAGGCCACAATTTCTTCCTTGTACTCTTTTTCTTTCTTTTTTTCTCTTACTTTAATACTTTATACTTATTAATTGACATTGAATTATAGTGCAAAATGGTAACATTATTTGAATTTTAAAATTCAGTAAAAGAAAGGTAACATTTGATCAGACATCTTTCGAATCATTTAAATATATGACTTATATGTGGGTGAAATTTTTAAAAAATTGTTACATTTGAAGCTGTTTGGGTCTGAGTTAGCTGTCTAGACTAGGTCTAATCTCTTTAGGTTTAATGCTGTTATGTTTCTGTACTGCTTTAAGGTGAATACTGCTAGATTAGTTCCAACATCAAACTACGAGATTTTCAGTATTAATTTAATCTATCTATTTATTTCTACATTTATTCATAATAATTATTGTATACATAATACGCTTTTGGAAACCATGTAATATCGGGTACATACAATTTTCAGGTTTATTTAACATATTTTATTCCAAAATATAATTAACAGTATTAGGTCATTAAAATTCTTACTGTATTATTTTAATTAATTAACAACCTTGATTTAAACCTAGTAAAATGTACTAGAAATATAATGGCAATAAATCATCTTTGGTTGAATCAGTGTTGTTTTCTTTGTATAGATAAATTACATGGACTTAAGAAATCTCTTCAACCCTAACATTGTACCTCACCAGCAGTCTCTTCAACCCTAACATTGTACCTCACCAGCATTCTATTCAACCCTTACATTGTACCTCACCACCAGTCTCTTCAAATCTAACATTGTACCTCACCAGAAAATAAAAACAATGATTACCAGTATTTAATATTTTACTGTCATGAGATACAGAGTTACATTTTCAAAAAAATCGAACGCTTTCTTAGCTCTGATGTAGAATAGGAAACTGTAATCATGTAATGTGGGGCTGCATGGTCAAACAGTAGAGTATTTGACTGTTAACTTGAAAGTCTCGAAGTTCAAACACTGGTTTGTCGAACTGGAACATCCCTGTCCACCCAGCTCAGATGGGAACTGACTCATGTTAGGGAAAGTAAAGCAGCTGGCCACACTATCCCTTCATATGCCTATGTCAGGGAAACAGGTGAACTCTACTTCACTTACCCATGGGCCATCAGGTTCAAAAGGGAACTTACTTTTAATCACGTACACTGCAAACATTTTCTCCTATCTGCTCTTAACATTACAAACATATTCTCCTATCTAATGGGCCTAATTAGTATGTTCTATCAACTTTGTAGAATAAAGTAAATGCAGTGAAATCCAACAGTAAAAAATGTTTTAAGCTCCTTAATGAGTATCAAGTTTAGTGGTAAATAGCACGGCTGTCAGATATACTGGAAGTCACATAGATCACATTTATTTTAGATGATGGTTTTCATGCACAACTAGTGTGCCCTTTTGAGCTGGGTGGGCTGGATGGAGTCGGTTTCTATGGCAACAATATACAGAGGTTGTATGACTTGGGATTCTCATTCAGGGTTATCAATAGCAATTATGCATAAAGACAATCAAACATATCACAGTGTATAAAGTGTATAAAATATCACAGTATTGTTAGTCAATAAATACATTTTTTATCTGGCAAGTAGCCTAACATTTATCTGTGAAAAAAATGTATAAGCATGTCAGAATCCTAAAAAAAAATGTGACTTTTGTGTTGTATGAATCGCTAAAAGTAGCATCAAAATGTACACTGATTACAATCAAATCTCTGATGTCATACCTGATAGTCTTAAAATTCTTTTCCAATTTGGTTTCATGAAAAAATTCTAAATATATAAATTAAAAGGAATGCTTATAAAAATATGTTTTTACAGTGAGCCTATACAAAATTATATCACAGTATTGTTAGTCAATAAATACATTTTTTATCTGGCAAGTAGTTGAACATCAGTGAAAAAATGTATAAGCATCCTAAAAAAATCCTAAAAGAAAATTTGACTTTAGTGATGTTGTATGAATCGCTAAAAGTAGCATCAAAATGTACACTGATTACAATCAAATCTCTGATAGTCTTAAAATTCTTTTCCAATTTGGTTTCATGAAAAAATTATAAATATATAAATTAAAAGGAATGCTTATAAAAATATGTTTTTACAGTGAGCCTATACAAAATTGACTTAGTTCATAAAAACATTTAGAGAACATTTTCTTAGTTTTAATCAGAACCAAGTTTTTAAATTCTTAGACAAATTATGTCCTAATTTAACATTCTAATTCAAAATAAACCTCAAAATAAATAACATAATTGTAATTTTTTTCTATTAAGAGTTAGCACTTATTTATAAAAAATACTGTTACCATTTTAATTAAATTAAGGAAAAGATAAGAGAATGTGTTAAACTAATCTTTCAGGGATAGTTTCAGTTTTTGGGAAGACCTGAGCCTTGTAGTGAGAATTGGCATAAATTCCACTTTCATCTTGCCAGGTGTTCCAGCCATTGCGCTTGTAGTCTGCTGTGTCTGTGAACTGAGACTTCATCTTCTTGAAGGCTTTAGTCTTCTCCTCAACTGGCTCTTCATTTACCTGCATGACATAAGTAAATGTTATTTAGTTAATTAATGTATAAAACATGTTTAAATTTAAAAGTGGCGTACTCTTTGCATGTTGCTTCAATCCAGTCCTACATGCAACATTTTATCAGGGTTCATCAACACGTTACAAATCCTGTTAGACGTGTGATTGAGTTATAAAACTGAGTTATTTAAATGTAGACAATGTCAGGTACTGTGATCTTAGCTGTTGGGGTGCAGGTTTGTCTACAATATCGCCCAGACCTCCCAGGGCATACTGTATGAATGCCTTGAATGTATGTTGATCTCCCTCCATTAGGACGGGTCATGTGGTGTTCTCAGCAAACACAGATTACATTACTGGGTGAGTCTACTGGTTTAGTTTAGTCAGTGAAGTTGGCAGCCCATCAAGTCCCTAGTGTAGGGTCTTTTTAAAATGAATGTAGCCCCTGATTTGTTTTAGTCAATGATTTTAGCATACAGTATATGGGGCGCTTTAAAGTGAAAATAGGTGTCATAGTGCTAATAACATTGCCTAGATCACACTGGGTCATATGACTTAATTGAATCCTGTACAGGTTGCCAAGTCAACAGACTCCAGGTACTAAATTGGCTGCTGGTGAACACTGGGTGGCAAGTTTTTTTGTTTTTTTTTTTGCAGTAGAAATCTTTCCAGGTACAATCTCAACAACTTCTCAAAGTTTTATGCCAATCTGAGGAACACATAAAAGACACACAAACATACATTCATTTTTTGTCTATATAGATAAAAATAGCCTAACTGTTACCTGCTTTTTCTCCTCTGTCTCTTTATGAACAAATGGATAAGGAGGAACATAATCTGAGTTGTATGTTGTATCAAGGTAAAATTTGTTGTGATCTGGACTATGAAATGGTAAAATAGAACCAAGTGCTTCTTTAGGATCATGAGTGTCTCTGGAAAAACAGAAAAACTGATCAGAATATAGTGGAAAGTATTACTAGTAAAATCACAAATTGAAGCACAGGCTAATGGTTGGACCAAACTAGCTCGTGGCCCATACGTGGCTGGGTGTAATTGAATGTGAATTACCATGCCAGTAATTAGCCCAATGGTGGTTGGATGTGAATTATCATGCCAGTAATTAGTCTACTAGTGACTGGAATTGAAAGACACAGCCAGCTAGTGGTCAGGTCTAATTACCTGTTACAGCACCACTGGTTGGACCCCATTTTACTTTTTAAATAAAGCAAACAAACCAAAAATATCATGACCTGACTTAACCCTCATTACTCCTTGTGGTGCATGCGGCCTCAACTGTAACCTTATATTTTGTCCGGTTGATTTTGCAGCCTCCCGAGACATACAGGCAGTCTTCATTTCTCCAGGTCTGTCTTTCTCCTTCCCTGAAGGTTACTCAAGTGCCTGGCATGTCACAGTTGAGTCAGCCTTTTGTAGTTTGTCCCCCACCCAGCGCCACTTCCTCCTTCTTATTTGTACTGACATTGGCTCATGCCTTGTTGTATTCCATAGGTCTATATTAGGTGCTTTATCCTACAACTCAATTTCAAGTTGATTATTATAATACTGCTGAGCATACCTTGAATACAAAAAGTTTATCTACCTGTCAATGCCTGCAACAACACTAGCAAGAGTCTCAGGTTGTACCAGTGGTTTGTAAACATCCCTTGTCTCATACAGGGGTTTTTGATATATTTGGTTTACTTGGTCTTGGTATGTTGTATTTGGTAAGGACTGAAAGCAGATGTAAAGTTTATGCAACAAAAACCAGTGGTATTAATAAAGTCTATGTAGGCTTTTCTTTTTTTCCACACATAATAAAGAAACATCTAGATGGTGATATATTAAAGTAGAATCATTTAAAGATTCACACAAAAGATTTTTAATTTATCAACTTACACCATCTGTGTCATTACCAATGCGCTTATAAGTAGAAAAGCTCATTGTTCTGATGGGGTGTTTGTTCAAGTCATAGTCTTTGGGTTCTGATTCTCGAGCTTGATGCCTAAAAAAATAATTGAAAAGTAAATCATGTTTTAAATTTTATTCCTCACACTTTGATTTGAAATACTGATCAATAATGTAGTGAATTTGTTAGGAATCAGACAATTGTGCTTGGTAGGACAAGAAGAAAAATGTGTATCTTAATAGATAATTGTTTATATAGCATGAAAATTGGATGAACTATAAGGCCAAGCTAGATCTCTAATTAGAATATCTTAGTGTTAGTTAGGAGCAAGCCAATATTTTGGAAATGGAAATCTACTTTAATTGGGTGTATTGATGTTATTTTTACGTTATTTGCATATTTGGTGTATTATTGTTTAAGAACAACTTATTGATGTTATATGAAATTTGTATCATTGTAAAGGGAATCGTCTGTGGTTTCAAAGGATAAGTTTATTAGAATTTTAGGAGATTGCGATAAGTTTTTACATAGAGTTATTTGAGGTAGGATAGCACAAAAGCGGGGGAAATTTTCACAGGTAAGCACTAGAATTCGTGCAAAGAACAATGTGTCATCCGAGACGCTCACGGGTGGGGTATATAAACCAGCGGGTTAGCCTTAGAGGGGGTGGAGAAATGACGGCCCTAGTCACTAATTTATGCATTACACAGGTTGCCGCTATAATCTTGTTACATGCGCACTACACAGACAATTCCCGGTCAAGAAAGATAGTGGAATAAAGATTTGCAGAAGACAACTTATTCTTCATAGTTTTTGAACATCTGAGAGTGAGAAGGAGAAACAGAAGAGCAGAAGAATATTACAATTGAACGTTACATTTGGTAGCAGTAAAAAACATTACAATAATAAAATAACTATTAGATGGAAGACTAATATCTTTTTATGCACAGAAGGGACTAAATTATTTACAACGAGCCGGCCCGCGGCATAACATACGCCGCTATTTAGTTGTTTCTAATTTTCAATAATTCATAATTTGTGAATTCGACAGTACCAACGCTGACACTGAAAATATTTCTTTAAAACACTATAAGTAGCTCGTTAAGGACCATAACCCCCCACCCCCCCTTCCTTCCCCCCCCCCCTCCCCCCCTACGTTTAAAATCGTTGGCTCTGCTTGTAAACATTTAGTCTCATTAGAGTGAACACAGCTCACTAAAACCATGTAGGGGTGGGGAGGTAGGGAGAGCGTTTGCAGCTTGTTTTCTAACGGCTCGAAGAGGAGAATTATATATATAGATTATATTGTAATGCTTAAAACTTCAAAATGTAGCTTGGCTTAGATAATAAACCCACTAGATCTAGATTCCTAGAAGAAGATATGTAACCCTACATCATGGACATGGTTTCAGTCACTAAGCATCTTTAACTGATTTTGGGTACTAACCAGTGCTGAAGTTGAGTAGGTTATAAATCTACTAGTAGTAAATATATTTATTAGGGGTTCAGAAAATATTTGAATGATTCACAATCAATTTCAAGGTAAAAGATTTTTAAAAGAATGTTATTAAATTATAGTTGTTACGCGAGGCCTAATTTAAAGTAATTTCACTGATTTGCCTAATATTAAATTACTAATAACTTAGTACTTAGTTTACTCATTATTAGTGGTTATTACTAGTCTACTAATAGAATCTACTAATTGTATCTAATAGTAATAATAAAAAAATATATAATTTGGCCTTTTATTCATTTAAGTCAATTTAAGATTCTACTAAATTATCTCATAGACATATGCCTAAGCCTAATGATCAATATTCAAACAAACAGTAAACAGCAAGGTCTCAGTCCTAAGTACTAATGTAATTAGTACAGTAGGGCTAGAGATATATATCTAGTTTCTCCAGACTCTGGAAGACATTCTAAAACAGGCTTTATTAAATTACCAGCGTGAATTCAGTATTGCTCTTGAATAGTTCATTTGATTTGACCGAAGAGTGAGAGAGCCTTTTCTTTTTTCGGCATAATAAATATTTTCATTATATTTTTCGAAATCAAGATCGTATTCCGATTCCATTTTTGAAAACCAAATAGATCTAAGTAGTATCCCAACTATTATTTTACTTAAAATCTAATCAGATGCGCGTATTTTAGAGGTAGTTTAAGTTGAATGAGTAGATCTATTTAACTCGTATTGAAAATTAGAAGGATGGCATTATGATTCAACCGTTTGATTACATTGACATCGGAAGTAAGCCTCGTTTCAAAAAAAAAAAAAGTATAATTTGACTGTATTTCTTAAAGTAGTGTTTAATAATCGAAATATTATAACAGACGTGTTAAGCAAATATATTAATTTACTTATAACTAAAAAAATATAGATTAAACTAAATCATTCAAGGTTGTTAAATTTTAAATTAAAATTACAGTATAGTTAAATTAATATAGATTTTGAATGTAATAAGTGGCTCGTTGGTCTAGGGGTATGATTCTCGCTTTGGGTGCGAGAGGTCCCGGGTTCAAATCCCGGACGAGCCCAAATGTTTTTTTTTAAGTGTAGACCAGGGGTCTCCAAACTACGGCCCGCGGGCCGGATGCGGCCCGCGAGGTCCTCTCATCCGGCCCGCGGACATCTTTTTGACCACGGAAAAAACGTTTGTTGGAGTTGGCTGAGGAACTTGCTCAGAAAGTCACGACATGCCTGGAAGAAACTGGCCCCCGAACTGGAATTTGATAGTTAATGCGGCCCTCGGACTGAAAAGTTTGGAGACCCCTGGTGTAGACGATTGCGATGATGTGTTGGGGGGTTCAGTAAATGTGACGATACACCTTTTTTACTTTCTCGTATATACGAAGTATAGAGAAAGTATTGTAATCGTGCAAAAAAAAAAAAAATCGAGATTTTTACTAATCTCGACGTTTTACACCTCACTGATACGGAAAAACATAATTTTGCAATCTTGTCCGTATATCTCTGTGTGTGTGTGTGTGTCTGTGTGTCTTTCCGTGTGTAAACACGATAACTTGAGTACCGTTACAGCTAGGTGGATGAAATTTCATATATAAGTATTTTATCAAAATCGTAGATCCGTATCAACTTTTGAGCGATTTCCGATAACCGGAAGTGGTACTTTTCCTACTTTGAATTTTTCAAAAGCCTATAACTTGAGTACTATTTCAGATAGATAAATGAAATTTCACATGTAAGTAAAAGATCTAATTCTCTACCTTCTGTTAAATTTTGAGTAATTTCCGTTGACTGGAAGTAGTACTTTACGCTACTTCCGATTTCTCAAAAAACTAATGTAAATTTTAAAAGTACTAATAATATTGCGCACTATTATGCGCTTTTTTATTTGGCGTTCACTTGGTGTGCAATTAATTTGTCTACGAGATTTTATTCTATTTTTAAAACTTTAAGTATTTAAAAAGGATTAAAAATAATGTCTATAGCCCGAGTTCCCATCCCCTGTTATTTTATATAAGAATATTCGAGAAAGTTTAGGGGAGATCACTCCCGGTTTATTTCTCACGTTGTCTTTAACTTGCTTTCGCGTCTGTTTTTCCAATCAAATCTTGGGATCGAAATTTCGGGCACTTCCCAGTTAGCTAGCGCGCTGAAATTTTCAGGGAAGCTTTGTTTCCGATGACAATACAATATTCAATTATTATTATTACTAAATTAATCCATGGAAAAATTTTATTGATCATTTTAGATCCCTATATATTTGTGCAAAAAAAAAAGGACATAACCTAGTAAT